AACTTCCAAACAGGAAGAAAAATGTCCAAAGTGTATCACATACTTCCATTAGTAAATGCAGATAGGGTTAGGGTTCTAAATGGCTGTGCCGGCAAAACTGAAGGCTTTAAGTTGTCAGTGAACTGCAGGAGCGACGAGCAGATGTTCTATGTACCATTCTGTGTGTTTACTTTTCAAATCTCCCATGTTGCAGCGGTTATCATCTGCTCCTTATCCAAAGACACTGACGCTTCCCATCTGCACCGGGGGCTAAGGAGTGACACAGCGAGGGCCGTGGAAACACACAGCACATGCACAGAACGAACAGTCCCATTGGAGCAACGCTCTGCCTCTGTGACAGATAAGTGAAAAGAATCACTCCACAGGGACCTCCGTGGCGTTATTTTTATTGATGTGGAATTGATCGATTGAGCGGCCATCGCTGCCTCTCCTGACATGGCAGTCTATATCCGCTGTACAGTATGAGTTAGTGGTTATATAACACAACTATGCTTTTCATTTTCATTCCACGGCTGTTATGAAACAACAAGAACAATTCCACCTTACACGGATACCACAGATTACACACAAGTTGTTACTAAGAGGTCGAAGGAAACATGAACAGTGAAGGATGTTGCAACATCAGTCTACGTTCAGGTCAGCTTGCAGGTTAAACCGGATTAGTAGTAGTACAAGTATAGACCAGAAGTAGTAGAGCACTGACGGAGGGCTTCAGCAGACAAGTGAATTAATCCTGCAAGTCAGACTCAAGCTGAATTTTAACACAGTTTGACATTTCCAACGCTGCCTTGAAAAGACCATGTGGAGACTGTAACAAGTTCAGCTCTCTGAAGAATTGTGAAGCATCTCAAAATGAAAAGTGGTCAGTCCAATGTTACACTAACCTACACTGCAGCAAAAAAAAAAACCCAAAGAATGTTTCTTTTCTGCAACCACATAAAGTTCGGTCAGTTAGGCGTCCATAAATATTGCCACATGCTACTTCAGTCACACATGACTGCACTCCCCAAGTGGTCCTCCATTAGCACTGGTGCCTGCAGCATCAAGCCCCATACCACAAAAAAAACGACTTTACTATGCGAGGGCTGAAATGATGCATATGCAGCCAGTTTGGGGGAAAGATCCATGCAGTGCAAGTACTTTATATACCCGCGTGATTTATGTAAAGTAAGCTTCTTTTTTTACACACTGCAGATGGAAACATTTCTAAAATATAATTCTCCATGCCCACAAAACCCCCTATAGCATCCCAACATGCACTGCACTGTGGTTCATCTCCCTCCCTGTATGCACAATGAGAACATGACAAATCCTTTTTAAATGTAAGAAATTCAGATAAATCTCTCTTTTGCGGACCCTTTTGGGAACACACTACAAGGGGCCCCCTCGGAGGTCCCCGGACCCTACTTTGGGGAAACCCTCATGCTCCACCACCAGATGTTCACAGTGCCCACTGGCGATGTGAGCTGGTGTCACGGCCGCTGCTCGCTTCTCATTGCAGCAGTGCTCCTGTCAGACTCGGGACCAAAGCCAAGCCAAGAGTGCAGAGCGCTGCGCTAAAACATTTTGTTCTGATTCTTAACCCCACCTTGGTTGCGGGTTTTTTTTTTTTTTTTTGGTTGGGGGGGGTTGAGGGATGTGGAGCGAGGCAAAAAAAATGTCTCTAGGTTCAATGCCTTCTGGAGTGAAATGACAGGTTTAATTCCACACAGGTGCACGATGTTGACACAGGTTTTAATATGATGGGGAGAGAAAAATGACCGAGCAGTGAAGAAGAAGAGGAAAAAGAAGAAGACCTCTGGCTGCAAAATAACTCAAACAAACTGCACTTGTAGCCTTGCAGCATTTCTTTTTTTTTCTTTTTTAAAAAAAAACTGATCCTATCCACAAACAGCCATCATGCGTAATGCAGACGCGCGCACTCACCTCGCTCATGTTGGAACCGTGCGCGGAGGGACTTCTGCAGCAGGAGTGCACTTCTTCACAGTAGTCTTCTTCTTCTTCTTCTTCTTCTTCCTCTCCGCGTTCAGCCTTCAGCCGTCAGAAGCGAAGCCAAAAGAGCCGCGTAAAAAGAGTGCTGCTGCGGCGTGTGTCGGAGGGTTGGAAGGGGGGGTGGTGGCGGTGGTGGTGGTTGTGGAGGGGGGGGGAGAAAAAAAGATAATACAAGAGTCTTTGGGATTTTTTGGGGCTGTGGATGCTCCGAGACCGAGGAGTCGAGCGGCGGGCTGACAAAGTGGAGGGATGCTCAGTTCTTCTCCGGTAGAGATGATGGAAGGAAGCTTCAGCGCCTGTAACGGTGCGGTTTATGGGCAACAGGATCTCTCTCTCTCTCTCTCTCTCTCTCTCTCTCTCTCTCTCTCTCTCTCTCTGTCTCGCCCACTCAGTCTCAACCAGTCACCAGGGAGCAGACTATTGCCCTAGTACAGGGATGTAGGCTAATAGGCACATAATAAGGAGGGTAACCCTGGAGCCTTTAACTCTACCTCTCACGGAATAGTGTTAATTGATTGTTTTATATTTATTTGTGCCATTTCAAATACCCTGATTTTTTTTCTCTTATTTATTTTTTTTTTTTTCAAATTAAGACATCCGGGGGTCTACTTCCTTTTTTAGGCTGATTTTGCAGCCTCTTCCTAAACCCTCCGCAGCACAGCGGATGTTTTTTTTCCATGACAGTAGAGTGATTTAAGTTTCCACATACCATGTTAGTAAAGCCAACCAAAATGAATGCACGACTTCCTTTCGCGGCTGTAAAAATAAATTCAGTTTATGAAATCACAAAGCTGCTGAAGATTAAATCTGTATAAAACTACAACAACATTGTCGTTTCCTTCCGTTTGCACTATTATTTGCACATTCACAGGTCTGTCACGTTTTGATGTCAAAAGCCATCGCGCTCTCAATTTTATTTTGAAATAAATATCAAGGACATCCGGTTTTGTGCAACGCTTTCTGCTGCCTTTACTCAGCTCGGGCTGCATTTCTTGCAGTGAGCCACACAAAATCAAAAACGTGTCTTAACTTACACAATAAATAGTGCTGTCATTTAATTAATGTAATTATATCTTATTACTAGTGTCACTAATAGTTAGAATCCTGAGTATGAGTTTATTTCAAGCCTGTCAGCGACTCCACTGGAGGGCGCTGTTGCATCACCAGATAGTGAAATCCCAACCTGCTCCTGGTTGGGGATCTCCAGGCTCCTTTTCCAGGTACAGTTAATTAGGAAATAATTAATTAGTTGATGCCTGAAGACACCCACACAACTGCAGTGGTCTTTACAGCTGACATCATTTTCTGTTGCAGTGAGGAAGAAGAGCTGAGATGCATGGATGGTTGCACCAAAGAGGCCCACCAGGCACAAACCCAAGGACCCAACAGGTCAGGGGCCCCCACTAAGCTGCAGATCTTCTTTCTGTTAACAACAGCTGCCTCGTACAAAAGGGTCTTGATGCTAAGCCTCTGCACTTGCTTATGGTTTAGTTTGAGTTATGTTAAGTGACATTTACTTGACTATTGTACTTATCTTGTCTTGTATCTGTGCTTTACTTCAGTATTCAGTTTTTGGAAACTTGTGACCTTTACTCTACTAAAGACAAATATTTATATACTATATAAATATACTTTTGACTCCACTACACTCTAATGAAGGTTCCCGTTACTCATTACCAATTACAGTAAAACCTGACCTTACCGTCCAACCTGAGAAAGCATGTCGTTTATGTGGTATGTAAACATTTGTATAATAACATTTTAAATGAAGTTCTGCTTGTAGCTGCAGTTTTTATGCTATGGTTGGTAAAATGTGTATTTTTATTTGCCCACCAATTTGTCGTATTGGGACAGGGTTGCTAGCAAAAATGCATAGTTAATGTAGTTGTTAAAACCCTTTCAGAAATATATGTTTTAATCTTAAACACAGAAGAATTACTGACAACAATAGACTGACATTCAAATGCAATGTTGAGTATTCCAGTACTTTAACTTTTACAAGTAAAAAAGGAGTAATATTTGACCTGGAGTGTCTCTACTTTGACTCAGTGGAGCAAATTGTTGCTGAAAAGACAAGAGACATTACGTGAAAATGATTTAAACTACACTGTGAAACATCATAGCCTAAAGAAACATCTGAAACGACAACATCTAGATCTTTAATATCAGCTTCGTAGTGCACATTTTCAAACATAAACCTTCTGATTCAGTCCTCAAACTCTTTCATACTGTACAACAGTGGATCCATAGCTTATGAAACTGTATTTGTTTATCTGACTCTCTTCAAATCATTGCTTTTATATGTGCATTACTGGATGATTTCACATCTTCGGAGCTCAAAACCCTTTCCAGATATACTGACAGCAAGGAAAACGCACTGGACGTTGTGGAGTAGTGACTGGCTGTAATGGTCACAACTGGTAGACATATTGCAACCAGTGAATTGAGTCACAAGTTGACATTGCTTCTGATAATTAAGCCAAAAAATGCAAATGAAATGGTGATTAATAAGCTTAAATACCTACATTTCTAACATTACATGCAGCCATAATGTCCAGAATAATACATAGAAACAACTTTTCTCAAGGGTCACTGCTATGTATGTGTGGACTCCTCTGCTCTCTCCTTATTACAGTAATTCTCAAAGTTCAGAGTTACTCACTATTTCTAGCATTTCATCATTAGGACTATTTCTATAACTTAACTGTAGAAACAACGATGGAAGGGAGATGAATGGGTTTATCCCTCAGAATGTGTCTACTTCTTGCAACTCTACTCAAAGCCACAAGATGGCTCACTTTTTTCCAAGTTGTAATTGGTTCTGCAATCTGAAACAGATTCATCCTAAACCTCTCTTGACATAAGCATGTTTTACCAGCAGTGCATTTAAATATTTAGGCGGGTAGATGACTGTCAGAAAGTCTGGAGGTTTTATGTAATCACAGTGTGTTTAAAACTTGAAAGAGAAAGGCAGATGGTGTAGAGAGACATGAAAAAAACAGACAGGGTTATTTTGTTTGTGTTTATTTATTTCTAATGCATTTTATTTGTATTTTTTTTTTTTCTGTCCACAAAGTCATATTAGTCACTACTATGTTAGATCAGTTTTCCCTCACTGCAATGGCAGTAAACTACACAAGAGCCCAAACCCAGCACGGCCCCCTCACCTCGCAAAGATTTGTCATTTCTTAATAAAAAACTACAGACACTGTATATGCAGCATCAGCCCCACACTAAATTATAGTGTTATCCTTTTGGTGAAATGATCTGATTCACAATCAGGAGATAATAAGGTGCAATTTTCACATACGTTAGAAAAAATCACAAGGGAAGCAACATTGTGTTCAGTTGAAAACCTGTGCAAGTGTAAAGGGATAGTTTGTTTTGTAGAGAATTCAGCCATTTTCCCAACTTCACTCAAAGTCAGACAAACTCTAAGGTGCCTTTTTAATGTGTCCTTCTGTGAACTTTGCAGGTAAGGCTCAATCTTGCTTTGCTCAATTAAAAATGGCGAAATACACCTTTAACACTGAGGAGTTTGGAACTATTTTTATCCCAAAAAAATAAGAGGTTTTTTGCATCCCTCCCTCCATTGTGGCTGGTGGCACACAAAAGCAGAAGGTCGGCATAATCTCACTTCTTTGAGCGAAATGAGTAGTTCTATAAATACATTTTTATGTAACAGATGGTTTAAATAGAGCAGCTGTCCATCTTTGGAGAAACGTAAAGGTGTATTTCACCAGTTTCCAGCGAAGCTTCTGCTGATCATATAGATGGAAGTGAGCTAATAAGGGCTTGAACATTCTTTCAGACTGCTTATGGACACATAAAAAGGCTCCCGCGTGTTTGTCTAACTCCTAGTAGGCAAAGTAGTCATGGTTCTCTGAAATCAAAATATACCTTCAAAAGAGTACAAATACTGGCTCAAGTGCTGCTTTCAGAGAGGATTTTGGGAGAAATTTGGGAATGGAGTTTGAGTCAAAGGCTGCCTTTTTTACAATCAAATCTCCAGAGAAAAAGCTACTAAGACAAAGAGTTTATTTTGAAAATCTGTCATCACCAAGGAAATTTCTGTCATTAGACATCTAGATTGATTGGCAGGCTGTTTTATTCCCATCTGCCGGAGGGAGGAGTAGAAGGGACCATCACTCAGGTTTGTGCTCTCTTTAAAAAACACAACATCTCTAGTTCTATCTGTACAACATTCAACAACACATTTCTCTTGTTTTTTTTTTTTTCGTTTTTTTAACCATAATGCCAAAACAATAATAATTATCATTATAAGAAGAGCATTTTTCCATCTCAACGGCATTGAACAAACACCACACGAACTGAAATAAAAATCTAATAAAGGCCTCAATACCAGATAGTACACGTCACCTTCAAGTGGTGCTAGAGATAGACAGTTTACGGACGAGAGAGGGGCATGGAGGAAGAGCAAGCATGGGAGAGAGAAAGGGAGGGAGGGAGGGAGGGATTAAAGAAGAGAGAAGACAGGTGAATTATTTTGTTTTTTATCAAGTTGATACATGCTTTAGTGTCACCTCGGACATGTTTTGGCACCTTTTTATAAGATTAAATATAATATTCATTAGACTTAAACTTGGGCTTTGGTTTACCAAGGGTTAGTATTAAGACCAAAAGTAGTATAACCCTACATCTATGATGATTTTTTACTCGTCTAAAGGTTAGGTAGTCCATTCTTTCAAGGGTCTAGCCACGCTAGATTGTAATAAGGCCTAGTGACCTTGTTTAAGGCCGAACGGGCCTGAAGAGCAGGAGAGAGATCTGGTAGGAAAACAGCTCTCCCCCCCCCCCAGGAGGGAGGGGTCAGGAGGTATAGACACGAGAAAAAGATTAGGAAAAACGGTCTGAGGTGATGAAAGAGAAGAGGAAGAGAAAAGAGGAGAAAAAGGTGGAAAGCGGAAGGACAGAGACGGAGAGGAAGAAAGAGAGTGTGTAGATATAGGCTAAGTGCTTTTGGTGAGTTTTACAAAATACACCAGGAAGTGCTTGAAACAGAAGGCACGATGGCATTGACAGTAGTTGTTAAGGAGACACCACTAAGGGACTTTTACTACAAAACTCATAAGGTGCTCTAAAAAAAGAACTTAAACACATTAATGCACATTAAGGTGTGGTTGCAATCACAGAATACCCCATCAAGAAGTAGGCTAAGGAGATAAATAGTGGTTGTCAAACAGCGTAAGGGGATATTACTGTCTCACATTCATTTTTTTTCTTTCCTAAATATACCTTGGAAACACAAGAAAGTCATGATATGGGATTGATTGTTTTCAGTTTATAGCAGTTGATGACACAAAAATGACTTTGAATTTGAACTTTCTTTAACAACCAGTTCAGTGGTTGGATATTTGAAACGCTGATCAACCAATTGACTCATTGATGGGGTAGATCTATTGAAACCACAGCTTTACACATTTAAAACGACAACAGAAAGTGACAACTTCCATTGAAAAAACGTTTGGTCTATCGATAAAGTCAAAATAAGAACAACTACTTTGGGAACTCAAACCTTGCACAGTGCTCTGTATAGACATTCCAACTAGTCTTAGCTCACAAACATTATAATCAATATTACCTATATTGATAACCTTTTTCTGTAAGCATCTTGAAATGAAAATAAACAAAAGTCTGCTTTTTTTTCTCGTCTTTACAAAAGCTACACATATTCTACTGGGATGTCTATGCATTTGTTAGTGTTTTAATAATTACTCCTACCATTGTCTGTTCTTTTCTTATAAAAAAAGAAGAGAGGGAATCTACTCATCTAAAAGACACCATACCCCCAAGAGTACAGTTTGTTTCTCAGATTTAGTTTGGCAGGGATACTGCTTTCTTTTGCGTTCTCTACCTTGTATCTTCTCTCCTATGGAGGATAAACAAAATTGTTCTTTTTTTTTTGACACAGTTGCTAAGTCTCTGTCTCTTTTAAAAAGGATGTGTCAGTTGATTGTGTTTGGGGACTCGAGTGACCTCCCTACAGCCCTCAAACAGACTCCCGCTCTGTGTTTTGTTCTTTTCCACGCATCTACGCTGCCTTGGCAACCGAAACCCGCATCCGGCACCATTGTAAACACTGAATTTTGAACTGTGACCCCTTTTTATCACTCAGCCTTTGACCTCTTTTATCGCATTATACATTATTTATATCAACTGCTTTCCTTTTTTTTTGTGTGTGTTTGCTTTTCAAGCTGAGCCACAAACGGTCACTGCCCGTGTCAAGGACATCACGCTGCAATGTAGCGTTTCTTTTACAACTTAACTATTCACAACACCCTAGAACCACTTTCAACAAATATACTGTACTTAAATTGTTTTAAACTGTATATTCAGATAAAATTAATTACCTATCAGAGCCTCGGTACAAATGAATACCAGAGACTCTCTTGACAACATACATGAACAGGCACTAACTGAAAAAGAAACTGTTACAAACTTTTCTTTCTGTTTATCTTTAGGACAATCGTCTAGAAACACTTTTCAGACAAACAAGGCAGTGATACATAGTTGAGGGAAAGCACGCAGCCTGCAACAGTTACCTCATGCCTTAAATTAATACCAAATAGCTTAGCTGAGGTTCATAGCTTGAAACTTTTCTAGACTAAACTTTCCTCCATATCTGTGTGGGCTGAGGAGGAACTTGAAGTTTGAGGTTTCAAACTGTTCAGTGGTCAGTCAGGAGAGCATTTCTTCACAGCTGGCTTCAGCTTGGTCAGTACAGTAGTCTGGGATATACAGTCCATTATTAGTGTGGAATAAATGCATGTGGAAGGATGCAGGATCCGCCCTAGATCTTATACATGTTTCTTTCATTTATCAAATAGGAGGTCAAAAATCTTCCATCTTGGAGTGAAGCTTGGAAAAAAAAAACTGAAAAGTGGCCTATAAAATCCTGAAAAGATGCATCTATGCTCTTTTGTACAGGCCTTTATTTTGTGGACGACCACACTGTCAGAACTGAAGTAGACAAATAATGTCGGAGGGAACATAACGGCAGTTATTTTTCTCTCCGTCCTTTCCAAAACCTCAGGAGTCAAGGATCCTCTGTCCAGAAATGAATGTATAAAGGGGCAAATTTTACATTAAACCCATTTTTGCTCTGCAAAGCTATCTACCCCTTCTCCAGTTCTGTGTCAAATGTTGTTGAACACATCAAACCCAACTCTCCAATTTAAACGGTGGCATCCAACATCATTTTAATCTGTTAAGACTCGATCCTCCTCTCCCACCATGTGGTTGGAGCTCAGGGCTGGTGACAGAGCAAGAGACATCCGCAGATCCTGGTCCTGTGAATCCTCCAGACTGCTGTTGTCCAAATTCTCTTCCAATTCCTCCTCTTGCTCGTCCTCATCTCCCTCCATCTTTTCTTTGAGTGCCAGACCGTCTCTTACATTGTTGGATACTGAGGCCTCGTTGGAGTCTGGGTGGTCGAGGATATCGTCCAGATGTTCTGCTGTATCCTCAGAGAGCCCGTTCAGGGTCTTGGCCTGAGTTGAGGACCATTCCCCCAGGGGTGCCTGGGACTCTGCCTCGCTCACATGACTCCATATTGTCAGAGGGTCGAGATCAGAGTGATCCGTCCGGGCCTTGGTGGCCTTTGGGGCTCCATCATCATCCAAGACAGTCGAAGGGCCTCTTTTGCGTCTGGACTTACTGGTGTGGTTGACCTGGAGATGCATGGCCATCAGCTCTGCAGAGGACGTACGGAAAGGGCAGAACAAACACTGGCTTAGTTTGATCCCTGTTGAACTATCCCCTCCGCCATCACCACCACTGACACCTCCTCCCCCTACGCTCATGCCTCCGTCTTCCTCCATCCCTCCAAGGCCAGGTGAGGGGCGACGGGACAGATCCAGGGGTTCAAACCCACCTTCTTGAGTTGAAGGTGCAGATCCTTCCTTGTCACCTGACGACTGAACCATTCGGCTAGTAGTAAGGGGCTTACGACGGGACACTTTAGGGGCCTTCGGTGGAGGAGACTCCCTGATCCAGCCCCCTTCCATTCCACCTTGGTAAAGGGCCCCCATCACTCCAGACAGATACCTGTACTGGGTCTCCAAGTCGACATCCCTAAGAGCCGCCAATGCTTTCCGATGCTCCCGCTGGTCTGGAAGCCCCAGAAGCCAGGACTGCTGGCTGGGCCGAGAGGTGGGGCTGTCGGTTGGGCCTCGGTTGACCGGGCAGTGGTTGAGCTGGGATCGGCGCTGCTTGGCCATCCCAGAGGTTCCGGAGGTCAGACTGTTGATAGTGGAGGTTAGACCAGAGGAGGAGGAATTGGAGGAGGCTGCCAAGGCATTGCGTTGCTCCCTGTGGTGCCGCTGGAGGTGGTACTTCAGTGAGCCCGACTGCGTACCCGCATAGTCACAGTGGGGACACTTGTAGGGTCTCTCCCCTAGAGAAAAGAAAATGAACAAATTAAGATGGAGGAAATTGTATTAGAGTTTCAACAAGTATCACCTAAGAGTGCAAGAAAACCTAGGTGAAGCTTAAGAAACCACTTATTTTGCATATTTTATTCACTATAAATCATGTTAACTTTAATCTAAACCTAAACTTAAAATGCAGATCAACCGTGCCTGGGCTGGATTACACCTGGCAGACAGTTTACTAATTGTTTTTTATATCATCGTGGAATGAATAGAAGAACAGAAGGCTTCTGGGAATGTCAGAAAAATATGTTAAAAAATCTGAAACACTACAGAATTTATTAAAAAAGGGTCAGCAGTAGCTTGCAAAATAACTATGGTCCTTTAAACAGTGGGAGATGTAGTTACACATTTTTAAGGGAGATGGCAGTATTCCATCACTAATAAAAATTACACTGCTGGGAAAGATAAAGAGCAGGAGGCATCATGCTGGAGGCATATCAACAGTAGGAAATGTATTACATATGAAAAGCGTAAACGATCCTATTCACAAAAACAAAAAAGCTGAAGACAAGAAGCACACAGCTATAACGGTAAATGCAGATGTACATGCAAAAGTGTGAACAATTAGATTTTGTTGCTAAAGCAAAAAAATAATAATGGGATAGAAGTCTCAAGGGGCAATAATCTCAAGAGGACAGTAATATCAAGAGAGTATTATTATAATTTGATGCATTCACTTAAATTACTGACCATGTGGTAATCACTTGATGGCACAGAGAAGCAATAGTGCATGAGAAAAAGAGCTGTACGCTACCAATGAATAATATAGCTGTGATGTGATAGGCCCTGTCAGCCATAGATGAGTATTCATAATAGCAATACTAAATAGATTTCGTTGAATGCATTCTGGGCACTGTCTTGCTGGAAAGACTTGGATGTGCTCCAGTTACCAGTTGCTGGAGATTGGTGGCATCTCAGAAATGGAAGAGGGGGTCTTAATTTTGATCAAATACATCAAGCAAAGGCAAATAATAAAAAATGGCAATGACTCATGCTGATTATGAATATGGATCATATGGAGTGTGAGTGAGTGCTGTGAGAGTTCCCAATTTCGATTAAAGTCCTACTTTGCTGTTACAATTCAGTATGAGTTGTTGTTTTTTTTAAGTCTTATTGGAAGCATCTGTTGGAGTGCCCTGTCTATGCTCTATAGTCAAAATAGTTTAAGGAAAACAATTACAGATTGTCTTGCTTCAAAGACAAGGTCGGAGAATGTGAATATCAGAAAGATTAAAGGCAAAAATTTGTCTGGAGAAATGTTATTTACATAAGAATCATTATACTTTATCTAAAAAATCATATGCCAGACCAATTTCATTTTGCATAATTTAGCTAAATCACGTTAGAGAAAAAGTACTATTTAATTACTGGGGGAAAATAAAATGTTGTTTGTACCTTTCTTGGGGATGAGGTTACAGGCTAGTGAGAGAAGTGAGCTTTTTTACTGAGGATTTATCAGTTTTAATCCCTGGAGTGGTTTGATTTTCCTCAAACACTAGTGTTAATATACCCTCAAGCAAGGCACTTAACCAGGAGTTGCTCCAGTGGAGCTGCTCAGTCGCCTGCAGTAGAGGGCTATGATTAGCGCTGGCCAGCTCTCTGGGGTGAATGTGTAAAAAAGAAAAAGGTAGTGCTGCTAAAGCGAGGATGCTCAATGAAACCTTTCCAGGGATTATAAATGTTAAAAAAGTAAATGTGGTTTGTTAAACTCACAGCAGTTCTCACCTGTGTGAACTCTCAGGTGTACTTTGAGATGGTGTGAAGAGCGGAAGGCTTTACCACAGTAGGGGCAGTCTTTTATCCCTCTACCACGCACTCGCTCCCTGGTGGGAACTGAAGGTATGGAGGAGACTGCTGTCAAGCCATTTTCTCCTGTAAGTGGAGAAAAAGGTGAAAAAAATGTAAAGATAACAGCTGGCGTGAAGGGCCCCCTGAGAGTTTCTATTTACAAGAAAAAAGGAGTATAAAAATAATATACTCTTGTGATAATAACACCATTACATGTGAGCAAACAAACCCGAAAGAGAAAAAAAATGAAAAAAGCGGGTGTGATTATACCTTTGAAGCTTGAGATGACAGAGTGAAACCCTGTAGCTGCTCCTGCTTGTTGTGATCCACCACTGTGCAGTTTTGATTCCTGTCTCACATCTCCTGTTTGTTGGGATCCACCACTGTGTAGCTGAGATTCCTGTCTCATTTCACCGCTGCCTCCTCTTCCTAGCCCCGCTCCTCGACGACTACCACTCCCCTCCTCTTCGCCGCCACCTCCTTTCTGGGGTCTCTGAGTGTGAACGCGTGCATGAACCACCACCTGCTGCAGGCTGCGGAAAAGTTTTCCACAGTCTGGGCATTCCCATGGCCCTCCTGCTCCTCCAGACTCTTCTCTTGGATCCAGGCCTCCAAGGTAGGCTCTGACTTGGTCAGCCTCTGTGATGACAGAGTTCCGACCTTGGCCTCGCTGGCCTTGCTGCTGGCCTCTTTGGTGGGGCCTCTGCTGCTGCTGCTGCTGCTGCTGCTGCTGCTGCTGCTGCTGAGCTACAGCCAGGCTGCGAGCCACCAGCTGCCACCAAGTTGCCTGGTCTCCTCCTTCTGAAACTGATGCTGTAGTTTCACCTCCTCTAGTTGGTCCCCCTCCTCCTGAGCTGCCAATGCCACCGCCACCACCGTTTCCCATCTCTGCCACCTGAGCCACTGCTTGAAGTCTCTCCATGCAGCTGGCCCCGCTGCCATCACTGGGCAACCCCAGGTAGCCGAGGATGGCTGACTTGCTGGAGCCCATCCCGATTCTGGCACTCTCTGATCTTCCTTGTCCACCTCTGCCACCTCCACGCTGGGCCAGAAGTAGGCTTGAGTAGAGCGCATTGAGAGACTGATTACTAGCAGAGCCTTTGGCCTGCTGCTCAGCACCTCCTGGTCCCCCAAGAGTTCCCAGCCCAGCCTTTAGCCCAAGCTTGTTGAGATGTACTTTCATGTGGTTTTTGAGGAACCAAGGCTCCTTGAAGCCACGGCCACATACTTGACACTTATGGTCCAGGGAGTCCTTGTGCTTTCGCATGTGTCCCTTCAGGAACCAAGACTGGGTAAACCGCTGTCCACAAGTATCACAGCGAAATGCTGGCAGTGAGGCAGATGCTGCCACTGTAGCAGCTGGTGTCATCTGTGGGGTACTTGGGGCTGGGGCTGGGGTATGGGCCGGTGTGGGAACAGGAGTGTCAGGGGTCGCGATGACTGGCCTGGAACTGAAGGCCGGTGGCAGAGCAGGTACCTCAGGGGAAGGGTGGCACTCCTGCAAGTGAGATGCCAGGCTCTCTTCTTGGCTGGCAGAGAAAGGACAAAGAGTGCATTTATATGGGTTGTGGAGAATTCTAACATGGCGTGCCAGCTCCGAAGCCGTGCGGAATTTTCCTTTGCAGGCATGGCAGCGAAACGTGGGTGCTATGGGAGTAGACGCACCCTCCACAATGGTAGAAGAATAAGGAGAGGTCACGGAAACAGGGTCCTCTGTAAGTGGAGGGGTCAATGGTGTGCTGTCATCCAGTAAAAAGTTTGGGCTCTGGTCTGCCTGTAGGGTATCATCTAGATCTTTGACCTCACCATCAATATCCTCTTCTTCTGTGAGATGTTGGATGAGGGTCCCTGGCAGTAAACGCTGGTTTGGGGGATTTCTGTGATTCTGGGTTAAGTCTTTGTGGTTCTGTTGGATTTTGAGGTGCTGCTTTAGAGGTGCTGAGGGGAGTCCAGTCCGGTATAGAGCTGAAGCTCTGCGGTCTCGGTCCAGACTGTGAGCTCGTGCATGAAGAGACAAAATGCTTTGGAATCGGAATCTCTTCCCACATACGTGACAAGGAAACCTGAGCGCAGGCCCTGACGAGGCCCCTCCCACTCCAGGTATTGCCCTGGTAACAGTATCCTTCTGGAACAGCTGGAGGTCTAGCTCGTCATTGCAGTTTCCACTCTGTCCCGATGAAAGGGCCAGCTCCAGGGCTCCAAACCCAAGGACTGGCGCTGATGGTGTGGTCGGTGGAGAAGAGTCCAAACAAGGGCTGCATCCCGCATCTTGTCCCCCTCCTCCTCCTGGGAACAGAGCCACTGCTGGGGTTGGGGATGGAGGAACTCCATCCAGTTCTTCTTCATCATCTTCTTCATCAACATCATGGTGATTGTTGCTGTCCTCGTGGAGGGGGAAGGGAGAGAGGGGGAAATAAGGCGTGGTGTCCAGGCTCTGAGGGGAAGGTTCAGGGCTGTGAATGGGCAGAACAACGGGGCTGTCAGGTAAAGAGAGCAGGGTGTGAGGGGAAGAGGCCTGGGGGCTGTGGTCCAGGGATGGCAGTGTTGGGGGGGACTGGGGCTGCTCACAAGAAAGAGACAACACACACTCTGGCGGCGAATCCATCCTCTATCAGTACAAAGCACAGAGAGAAATAGAGAAGCAGAGTTACAACTTTAGAAACCTAGAGGAAAGGTTAAATTTGCATGTTGTGCATAATTATCTTCCACTGTAACATGACCTTGACCAAAAATCCCAAAAAATAGACTGCCGAACAGGTTCATATATCTATATGTGTGAATGAATGTGTATATGTGTGAGAACAATAGAGAATTACCAGCAGTGTGTGTGATGTTATGCCATTCTTTAGTGTCTCGGCTGATGGGGGACACACTTCTGTGGCAGCCTCCTCCTTTAATTTTCTGGTGACAAAAAACAAAAAAAAAAAATCCCTGATGATGAACGAGCAACTTCACTAAAATGAGTAATTTTACTTATCAAAAATCGAACAATTATTGCACTTGAAATCATGTTGTTTATATTTAAAAAAAACACAGATTTTAACAAATTATTGAAGCTATTATCTAACTAAAGGCTTAATAGGGTAAATTAACAATATCAGTGTCAATGTAGGCGTAAATGCTTTTGAAATATTGAGCGATGAACTGCAGGTAGCAGATTTTTGTCAAACAGGATAAAAACCAATTTGCACTGCAGACTCTGAATGTATTCCATCATAAATGCTAATAGCAGAGAATCAAATGCATACTCATTACAGCCCCGTTTGGAATGTGTTTTAATGCATGTAAATGTTTTGTACAAAGCAGATCTTTACTTGATCTTCATTTACTCTTCAGTCTGCGTAGGTGTATGTATGCCATTGAATGTGTAACAGGTGTGCACCTGTTCTGCCTCCTGCATGTGTTTACAATGCACTCCAGCATACTGTTAGCACATATGGGATGATTAGCCGGAGTGTGAATGCGCACCGGTGTGTATCTGTCTGTGCGTGTGTGTGTGTGTGTGTGTCAATGTGTTTAGGAGTTAAGGGCACCACCACAGGACAGACTGTCCCAAACAGGATGGGCGCGCGATGTTTTGACTTCCCCACACACCCTTCCTGTACACTCATACAGTAGCAGCTTTTTGCTTAAATCAGGACTGTATACACTCATGCGCACACCCACACACACTCTAGTAAAGTATGCATGCACTTATACACAGCAGTATTTGATAAATCTACTGCCTGGGTGTGGTGGCTTTGACCCATACACTACTTAGTCATGGTTACTTGTTCGAGTAATGTACAAAATGTAAGCTTATTCTACTGTTATGTTGACTGTACTGCAACCGTCACACCAGATAACAGAGTCAGCTAAAATGTAAAGTGTGATATACAGCATATTGAGCACACAAGCACTTTGGCAAGCACGCTCACACACCCAAATATTTTGAGGGCACAGCAGTTTGCATCAGTTGGACTGGATTTATGCACATCGGCTGTTTTTTGTCCATCATTTGGTGGAGTTGAGAAGCAGCAGAGGCGCCCACAACAAAACAAAAGGTCATCAATCATTGTGGCAAAACAATGGAACATCTGTGTTCGCAGGTGTGTCGCCCATATTTGTGTTCATGCAGGGGTATGGTCACATATGTGTTTATATGATCTGTTGGACTGTGTGTGTGTGTGTGTGTGTGTGTGTGTGTGTGTGTGTGTGTGTGTGTGTGTGTGTGTCACTGAGCCTGGATGACAAAGAGATTCTCATGTAGCCAGTTGACATTTTAGCTCAGCTATGACTCACAGGGATATCACACCATATCAATCACATAAACACACACTCACACACAACCACAGACACACACACACATACACACACTCACTCACACACACACACACACACACACACACACACACACACACACACACTCACACAGAGTCCTTTCTTAATCCACCATTATTGTTCTTTCTCTCCCTGTCTTCCTTTCCCCTCTGTCTTTCTTTCTCTCCCTGATTCATACTCTTCCCATCCCCCTCTCATTCTCTCGCTCCCTCCCTCCGTCTATTATTCACTAATTTTCTTTCATTCTCTCCCTCTCTCTTTCTTTCTCTCCTGCAGTGTTGCCAGTTGGCAGAGTGCCAGGGAATGCTGATATCAGCTGGTAGATTGGGCCCTGCCAACATGGCGAAGAGCAAAAATGAGAAAGGAGGCAGACAGAGAGAAAGAAAGAGAGAGACAGAGAGAAACATACAGTGCAGTTACAAACTGGGCAGCATTAAAAAAAAAAAACATTGTCAGAAGCCATGTGAATGAAAATGATTTAATGTGATTGCCAGCATGGTGTTGAGGGGAGAAGGGGGGAGAAAAATAGGGTAAAGAGACAGACATGCTGGAACAGAGAATAGGAGAGAAATCTGTGTGGTGGAGTGGCAGGCTGGGGCATAACATGATGAGAGAACAACAGATTTAAAAATCATTTGAAAAGTCAACACACAGACATATACATCCAGGCAGACAGAGAGAGATACAGAAAGGGGAGACGAAAGAAAAAAAGGGGGGAGATTGGCTATCTAAATGCATCTGCAGCACTGTTAAGTCTGATGGCATTATCATATGAATATCACCATCACAATGCATTGTTCTACCGTGACGGTGGCTGTCGCCAACCACCGGCCCTGTCATGCCAATAAAGACAATTTGGATAGATGGAGAGAAGGAGATAAGGTGCAGCAAAGAATGCAGAAGAAGGGGGTTGGGGGTGACGGAGGGACAGAAATCAGATTGGAAATCAGGTGGAGCAGAAGCACATGAAACAATGGTGTAAATGAAGCAAGAAAACCAGCGACCTAAACCACCTCCGGACACGGTCCTAGACACATTTGTCTGCATTTACCAACAAATGCAATTCAATCCCAATCTGCAAATTTAACTACTTTTGTTTGCCTTCAGAAAGTGCACGCAAACGGCTCACCCAGGTACTTCTAGTCCGTTTTTAAAGGATGCAAATATTGGACGAAGAAGTGATGCGTGCAGCGGTTTTGCAAGGGAAGGAGAAATCCGATCTTAAAAGTACATCTTGGAAATGCATTTTTAATGTCAGGTGCAAATGTGATCCACCCAAATCATGCGCTCTTGATGTGAGATGGAGGAAAAGAAAAATGTATTTCCTTGCAGTTTCCTTGCTTATTCTCTGACTCTGAAATTTGCAGCGTACATGTAGCAGTGTAACAACATTGCAATTCACACGGTAATGACAGCTTAAAAGCATATCGTTGTTGTGTTAAGCAGTTCCATGATGTTGTCATTACAGTAATTGCAGTGTAACTTTGTGGGCACCGGGATAACAGATTTTACCTTCACTGGAAATTAGCTTTTACAACAGAGGTCAATATGCCAACTTTCTTTTTTTAAGCCCCCCCATCCCAAAAAAGAAAATCAGCATTGTTTAAATACTCATAACTACTCGTACACTTTGGTCACAAGGTGTGTATGTAGAGGAAGGAGGGGGGTAGGGGGGTCTGCTGAGTCATACATCGCATCCGTGATAAATATTTTCCGAGGGAGTTGGAGCTCAATATGTTCAGACAAGTTTATTTTTGGGGGGTTTGGATGTCATTGTGTAAATATCCACTGAGTGATAGAGTTTTATTGTGGAGGCAGTTAGTGCAGGTTTGTACATGCCAGCGTGCTACACATCATAATTGTAAATGTGAGAGTGTGAACACCTTTTCACTTAGTGTGTCTATGTGTGTGTTTGTGTGTGTGTGTGTGTGGGCAGGAAGCGGTTTTACATTCACGATATGAGTGTAAACGTGTGTTATAGGCAGAATATTAAGAGTGGCCATTGCCTCTAGCGCTGGTTTCTGACCCTTTAGTCTTGCAGCAGCGCCTACTTCATCAAAGTTTGCATAATGAGTTCTTAATGGTGGGATTTGTTGTTTCGTTTTAACTGTTTTTATAGTTAAAGGGGGCCTGTAGTATTTCAAAGCAGATAACAGTTGAGAGGAGACAGAAAAAATAAGCATATATATATATATATATACGTTTTTTCTTTCTTTTCAAGCTTAATCATGTCACGACCCCTATAATGTATTTTGTGATCCCTTGGGAGACCTCCAGGTTTGAAACCCCCTGGGGTCCCTAAAGAATGAAAAGGGTATACTATAACTACCATTGTGTTGTTTTTGCCTTCATGTGTGATTGTTGAACATGTCCTCCTCCATGTACCTAAAAATAGGCATCTTGAAGGTCTCAGGCCTGGGCCTTAGGGCATTAAGTAAAATGTGTATCTGCAGGCTGTGTGTGTGTGTGTGTGTGTGTGTGTACTTCAGTGAATCTTTACAAGTGTATCTTTCTTCCAGCTGTATTACTTGAACTCTCATGTGATGAAGTGTGTGTGTGTGTGTGTGTGTGTGTGTGTGGTGAGGTGTCCTTTGGGGATAAGTGGGTGTACTGACCATGAAAAAAAATGTGTATGAAAGAGGGGGATGAGCGACTGAGGGAGGCGGAGAGGGGAGTCCGCTCTCTGTGCGGTACAGTATAATTTGGCCCTGTGGTTTTTATCGCATGGTCACGTGGCGAACTTCCCCACAGACGGTATTCATTTCCTTTACTTCACCTTTCCCTGAACCCCCCTGCTTCGCTCCAACTTTGTCTGGCTCTCCCCCCTCCCCACATCTCCAGCTCCGGTACTGATAAGGGGGAAAGTCTTCCCAATTTGTCTTCACCACCAAACTGTAAAGATGTGACTGGTGGGAGTCCTCATACAGAAAACTTTTGTGTATCGTTGTGGTGTGAGAATGGAAGAAATATTTCTATCAAAGCTGCTGACGTTTGCCTCTGAAACAGAACTACAGGCACTCAGGGTGCTGTTGGGGAAAAGTGTCAGTCAAACGGGGATAGACTGACATATGGTTGACCTTTTTTTATAGATATTATGTGAGAAAAAGCTGAAAATTCCGATGCAAAAATGCATACATCCAGCCCTGGATTTTTGATCTGTTCTCAGCTCTTTCATCTTTTGTAAGATCTGAGGACGCCAAAAGCAGCATTTAGTGAAAAAGAGTGTAAAAAACAGTTTCTGCTCAGTTGATGTGTAATATCTGCCACTTTCTACATTCTACGCTACCCTACTGCCCCTTTCTTCCTGTCTAACACTTACCCCTTCATTTATTCTCCTCTACCTCTCCCTCCACCCTCCATCTCCTCTCAAGCTGTTACTCCTGCTCTTTCTCAATGAATTCCTCCTCCGGCGGAGAACACGAGCCGACACTTCCGCGCAGTTGAGGAGCGCCGAACTGGGAGTGACGCGGCGGTGCCAGATCTGAGCGAGTGAATGTGAACGTTGGAAACATCACAGCGTCTCGGCAGAGAGACGAGAGTCTCGCTCCAAGTCGTGCGGGCCGCGCTGCGTCTAAACCAATGAGCGGAGGCGCTGGCTGACTCGTCTGATTCAGGATTACAAGACTGAGGCCTTTTTTTTAAAAAGAAGAATTGGTTTGGAGCATGCAAATGTCATGAGCAAATCACTGGAAAAGACTTATCTGTGCACAATGAAGATCACCTGCAGGGGTTGAGAGAAAAGAAGGGAGGGGCAATCATGCATCCCACAGGTGAACCAAACACCTATGATGTCTTTATTTTCCAATTAAACTGATTGTACTGAGAACTGTCAATCACTATTGAATAATTAACACTCGGATCCAAATTGGACCAAAATCTTCAAAACCTTTTTTGTCAGCAATAACCAGTGTCCTTGAGCAAGATGCCGCCTACCCACAAGCCCCAGGGATGCTGACCCTACACTGTGACCTCCTTGTGGAATATGTGTGTCTGACATGTGAGCACCTATAGAAAAAAATAGAAACTGTTAACACGAGTTGATTCTTTATTCACCCTGGGGAAATCTGCAGAGCATGTGTTCTCTTTCTTAGTAACACCTTGCTTCATGCACTCTCTGTTACACTTTTATATACATGCACAGTGTATGGGAGTGGATACTTAAATCGACACCTCCTGTAATTTGGGGGTGACGACCTTGACTGTATGCATATGAGGCTGGAAAGGAACTTTTGTGAGGGTAGAGTCAACTAGTTTGCGTTGACGGACCACGTTGGTGGGCAAAAGTGTTCGTAGCTGTTCCAGAGTGGAAAGCCTAACTGTCACAGCGCGAGACGCAATGACTGTTTGATATGGGGATAAGGATGCAGACTTTTGCACAGACCTTTTCCTGCGAGGCATTTGTAGTGTTGCGCACGTGAAAAATGAGATCAGAAATAGCTGTGTGAAGAATGGAAAAAAAGAGAGCTCGAGAGAAGTTTAAAACGGCCTTACTTTCTCGCCTCCGCAAGACCTGGGAAATGCTGTGTGAAGTGGGCGTGCTTGTCGAATTGTCAGTTTTCGGAAAAAAGTTACCTTAATTGTCGGATGCAGCCCCCCCCACCACCCCAAATTCCGACACAGGAAAGACGTGGAGAGTGGTTCGGTGGGATACCTTAACACCTTCAGCCTCTCTGACTAACCTTTGAGGCTCTATCTTTTGCTTGACCTGCTGTTTTAAATCACAGCGGGCTCCTTCTGCTGGTGCTGTGACCTGCTTAGCTCTGTTCTGCTACCGAAATGATGATTTGATTCCAGTCAAACACACACACACACACACACACACACACACACACACACACACACACACACACACATACAGGAGGGGAGAGGGAAAGTGAACCATCTACCTGTCCACCTCTATTGTGGAAATCAGTTTGAAAACTGCTCTGCGAACTCGATACAAGTGGCACAAGTGACGTACTATTTAAGTATAAGACCTTAATGCTCTAAATACACGCTAATCCCGAGCAGCCAGCAGAACTCTCAACAGTCTCAAAATGTCACAATGCAGTAGATTCTCCCTAACTGAGGGCAAGCAGGTGCCTCTCCCGCAGCGCACTAATGACCCAATTATATCAATCAGAAGCCTTGATTGGTGCTACACTCCTCTCCCTTTTACTCTCTCTCCCTCTGTCTCTCTGTCTCTTTCTCCCTCGCATACAATCTCTCCCCAAGAGCCACCTGGATGGGGTGTATGTGCCCCCTCAAGTACAGTACAGTATGTACAAAGATGGGGAGGAGGCGGCGTTGATGTGGTGGTGGTGGCGGAGGAGGAGGAGGAGGATACTACTTGAGCACAACAAGCAGAGAGAGAGAGAAAGAGGTCTGAATGAAGCAAAACCATTAGACGCTTTTTTACCATAGGGCCAGTGTTTCATATTCATTAGTACAGTAGGTCCCTGATAAGTATTTGCGACATGAAAGCATCAGCTTGTATCTAAAAGTAGACAACCTGTAGGGGTTGGACGGGGGGGGGGGTTACTTTTCCAACAGAGGGGTGATTCTTTTCACGTTCCTTTTTTTTTAATATTACATGCTCGTCTTATTCAGCAAAGATGGGAGAGTAAGATGTTAAGCTGTCACAAAAAAGTCACTCCAGAGGGCAAAAAAGAAAAGAAAAAAAACTCATTTTAACAATTATGAATACAGTTTTTAAAAATGTACTCTTCATTTTCTTCCACAAATCCTATCTAGTTTCAACTCATAACACACGATAATGTGTTAGTTTAGGGTTATTTGATTTAGAGAATAAGGGTAAAAATCATCCAAAAACGCCTAAATAAAAAGATGAAGTAAACAGAGTTCAAGGTCCTTCCACAACATCCCTGTTTATAGGACAAGCCAGCAATGTCAACCTACTTCCACTATGCACACGCTCTCTAAAGTGTCACATTTAGGGTGGAAAATAAAAATAGGGCATTTCAGAATCCCTAAACATATTCCATTGGATATAGAAAAGGCGACAGGAGTGTCTTTGGTCAACCCAGATGACACGTCTGCGCCTTATCTCATGAGGAATTTCCTCCTCGCCCCTATGATGTGCGTCAATAACGTGCAACCATTTTCAGTCGCTCTTTCCCCTCTTCTCTCTCGCGGCCATCTCAATTAGAGGCACATTAATGAAATAAATAACCATCAACAAACAATGCACTAATAAACACCCCCCCACTAAAAACGAGATTAACCCTGCCCGCAGATGGTGTCCGCGCACAATCCCGCTTCCCAAAAAAAAGAAATGCGATTAAAAATCATAAACAGTGGGGACGTAGTTTTTTGGAAGTCGGGGGGTGGCGTGTGTGTGTCATGTCAGCCTATCTATCGCTCTCTCCCCTGCTCCATTTTGTTCTTAAATTTTCTATACAAAAGATTAAGGGAGGGGAAAAAGACGAGTGAGCGAGCAGCGAGAGGACGGGAGGAGGAAAAAAAAAAAGTGCCATCATGGATTTCATCTTGAATCCTCTGCCAATCTCCCGAACCGACATTGGTCCCAAAAAAAAGCGACATCGTATCCAAAAAAAAAAACGCACATTTTTTTTTTTTTAAACCAGGGATGAAAAACCGGTAACTTCTCTGTACGGGAACACACGCGTTTTGCAAACACACACACACACGGGTTACAAACGTTGCATGCCACACTTGCTATGCTACTTTCTGAGCTCGTAGACACTGGAGGTGATGTTAGGACAACTAAACGGGTTGTAGTAAACACCGTAGTAAAAGTATAACCTTTTATAAAACACCATTACAGCCCCGCGGATGCGTTTTTTTCTTTTTTGCGCACATCCCAGATGAAAGTGGCGGTGCTTATCTCGAAAACAATGCACAACACAATGCCTAATGTGTGTCCAACAAAAGAATTAGTCAAGCTAATCGCGTCTGCCCGCAAATTACGCTTTGTAAATCAACTTGCTAACATGCAAAAATCCCACTTTTACGCCCGGACAATATGTCTGCGGCTTATCGAAATTCTCTCCCGTTACGCACCGAGAACTTGTGCCTCTTTTCGTCCCAAAAAAAAAAAAAGCTACTTTTTTTTCCGGTCAAACGTCGTTTTTTTTTTTTTTTTTTTTTTTTTGTTGCTCTTCCTTGAGAGGTTAAAAAGGGATAAAGGAGAAGAGGTCAAAACGCTGCCTGATTTCAAAACGGGTCGCCTCGCGCGGATAGAAAAATAGTAGCTAACAGAACTTGGCTAAAGTTACGCGAATAAAAAAAAATACATCTTTAACCACTCCGAGTGACTTTTTAGTGCACTTGCAACCATTTTAAAGTCGCGTTTAATATCCAGTTGACTTGCCGAATCGACTTATTTAACACATTAACACACATTACACCGAAGGGGGCTTTCTTGAATTATGTGTTAGAAAACAGTGCATTTATCCGGGTTTTTATTTATTTTTTGTCATGTCACGGGCTATAGGAGGGCTCGGAGGCTACATGCATGTCGGCCACGCGCGCACATACACCGGCTTACATACATGACACACACGTAAAGTGGTCCGGAGCGCGCGGTTACATACATACATACAGTACATACATACATGCTACATGCCTATCACTCGCGTGCAAGCACACACACACGCGCGTACACACACACACACACTCACACACACACACATACACACAACTGCAAATAAAAAGCGGAGAAATAAAGCACAACAACAACTATATTGGCCATTATCCCGTGTGTTGCTCGTGGTAAGAGGAAGAAGAAGAAGAAGGGAGAAAAAAGAGGCAACAACAGTCGCAATAAATTCAACAATTTTTTTTTTTTTTTTGGAAATGTTTCATCACCGGTGTTCCACGCCACCATGCATAAAAGTGTATATGTAAACAGAGTGGTGGATAAAAATGGAACTAGATAAATGAAGATATAGGATATATGTTGAAAGTAAAGACTCAGTGTACTTACGGGAGAGGCGGCGAGGAGATTAATGACACGACACGTCATGATTACGTTTCACTTGAATTAAATACATTACGAGTTGGGAAAAAAATGGAAATCAGGGTTGTATACAAGCATACGCCGTTTCCCCCTCCCTCCTCCCTCCGTTTGGTCACCCTCTTCTCTCTCTCTCTCTCTCTCTCTCTCTCTCTCTCTCTCTCTCTCTCCTCCTCCTTGTCCTCCTCCATCTCCCTTTTCTTCTCCTTCTCCCTTTTCTCTCCTTTTCTTCTTGCATTTTTTCCCATTTATTGTAGGCCTACAGGAGTGGGTGAATAGGGAGAAGGAGAGGAGAAGTGGGAGGGAGAGTGATGTAGGTTGGAAATGTTAATTATAATCTCAGCACGGGCACCATTTTACAACGCTGTCATCTCTTCACATTTGTATCCTAAATATGGCATCTGGGGTGGCGGGTAGCTGACAGTTTGGAGAGACGTTTTTTTTTTTTTTTTTCCTTCCTTTCGGTGGAGGAAGGAGAGGAAGAAGAGGATAATAAAAAAAAAGTTTCACACCAATTGAAGTGTGTTGTAAAGTGATGACAGGGACAAGAGGCAGCCTAAATGTTGTGGTGGTGAGCCACCCCGGAAGCACATGGCCACTTCCAGGATGGGAAGATACAAAGTGCACATATTTTGGGATGCAGGGTTCCCAACATAAGGTCCGGGGACCACCAGGAGTCCCCTCGGGAGGTTTCCAGGGGGTCCCCTCCCCAGCAAAGTGAGAGAGAGACACTAAAAGTACAGCATCGGTTTGTGGAAAATACTCAAAATTAAACTTCACTAAAAGTATAAAGAATTTATAGCAAATTGTTCTAAAGCATGAAAAGTAAAAGTACTCTCATACAGCGAGGTATTAATTCACACTGTCACATGGTTTTCAGTTGACAATGGTTTAGATGTAGCAGGTGCACATCTCCTCCAACCTACATGCATGCGTCATCCCATTTGTTCCCTTATTAATAGGGTGGAGTCTGATGCATCTCCCTGTGCCGAGAGTTGAAATGATGTTTCTCACCACCTGATGAATGAAAGTCCCAATATTTGCTCTCCCTTTTAGCCCTTTCGTTGAGATCAACTTATAAGAAAAATATCTCAGCCTTGTAGCTTTGTTTGGGTCTCAACCAGCTGGACAAGGTACCCTTTTTGCCTATGTGGCAGCAGACTTTGATGTTAACTTCAGAATAACCCATCTGCGTCAGATGACATCGGTGTAGAGCGACACAGTCCACATAAGGAGGTGGATGTGGTGGATGGATGGGTCAAACACAACCGGGGTTCCTGTTCCGTGTGAAACCAAAAGTCAATGTTGACTCATTCAAATTTTTTAAGTTTCATAATGTCACAGAGGGTCATGTGACTTGTGGCCACCGTGATGTCAGCATGACATTTTTCTAAACCTAACTGAGTAGTTTTGTTGCCAAAACTTAACCAAACTGTGGCCATTTCACAATGTTAACCATGTGTTTCAAAGGCATCTAATACAGACGCTAAATGGCACCATGTGTATAAGAAACTATAAAACATTTAAATAAACTAAATTAAATGAATACTTTTTTAATTTTCTTTGGTATTTTTTATTGTATACAGATATGCAATGATCAATGCTGGGCAATATGTATGTTGATGTTGTCCAATATGAAGGCTGTATCTGATCATGTGACAAGACAATAGGTTATATGTGAAAGGGACCGGTAAGGTCTGTAAGAAAATCCTGAATTCATGAATATGCAAAAATTGTTCATTTCAAAAGTTTAACTGCTGGACAGGATGTCTTCATTGTAAAGTCAGCTTTCAGTGTCTGAGCACTGGAGGTTTCGAGTTTTCACATCACACTTGTGGAAGTTGCATACTGGACTGTGATTGGCCTCCCAATTACTTCTCATGTCACAAAATCTTGAACGTCCACATCATCCATCACACATTCAGATTTAGGATGAACACGAAGCAACTTTCCCCCTTCGGCATATGAATGTAAAAACAGCATTACATACATTATTCTGAAATTAAACATCAAAGTGAAGTAACAATAAGCATAATATATTTTTGAATGGAGGAGGCTTGTCATGGCCAGCTAAAATAGGGTGAAATAGCTGCAGAGGTGGGCGATAATTCTCTGTGGACTCATCACTATGAGTGACCACTATCCCATTAGTTGTAGATTCAGTGATTTTATGAAAAACATACTGATTAATGCAGCTTTACTCAAGAGCACAATCACAAGCAACTGGTCTTCAACACCTTTCACAGTCAGATTTTCACATTTCAGCCTGTGTGGTGGAATAAAAAAAAGGCTATACTGTAAATGAGGGAACTAGGATGTGAAAACTGGGGTGAGAAGGTCATGGCACAATAGCTGGACCTCGAGTAAAAGGGTTCTTGGTTACTGAAAGAGGGTGAATGTCTGTTTTAATCACAGGTTTCAGGATCAACAAACTTTATGTATCTTATTTCATTGCAATCTGGTTGAATGCATCTTACATATGATATCTTGATCTAGATGTGGGACACAGCTATATTAACTTGCATTGGAAGTCGTGGCGACTCTTATCGTTTATCGAGGGGAAAAAAAGTTATTTCAACAAGTTGGCTCTTGATTTAACTTGAATATTTTCATTAGACCTTCGCCATCTGCTTTATCTGATCCATCTACAACTGCATTTTAAAGTCTCGAGAGTTGAGTTCAACACAGACGTTTTTCTTCCTTTCGCTCACATTTTCCATGTAAGTGGCTTGCATGAGCGAGTGTACTGCAGTGTATGAGGGCAAACGACAACAGCAAAAAGTCAAATCTACAGTACGTGGGCCAGGATGCGCTTGGAGTGGTGGAGCCCACGCGCCTCTTCCACCACCTCTTCATCAAAGTGTTACAGAGTGAGATATTGAACATGTTAAACACCAAAAACCCAGCTGAATAGTCTGTTAAGAAATCATTGCCTTTACATCTAGTTTACTTCGCTCTCTCGCGCCTAAACGCTTTGATTTCCTTCTTTTCAGTAATAAGGCTTCAGTCTAAACAGTGTTTAGATGTAACCTCTGCCTTTGTGTTTGCCTTTTTTTATCACTTAATTGCAAGTCTGAATTTTTTTTCTCAGCTGAAGGCCTTGGTTTCAACATTTAAATGTGCTGTGCTCAAGCAGTGTGTGAAGGTAAACGTTGGCTGGGAAATTCAAATGTCTTTGCTGACGCAGAACATATCTCCTGGATCAGCCATTGTAAGCCTGCTATTGTGTATCTGAGAGTGACTGACTAAGTCTGTGGCATATGTGCAGTGCATGCTTGTCTCAGTGTGTGTACATAGTAAATCAATGTGTGCAGATGAGTGTGTGTGTGTGCACATTTTGCATGTCAGCAGCATATATATGTGTATACAAGTGCATATATTTATATATATATGCATCTCTCTGCTGATGTGTCCCTGGAACTGTACTCTGTGTGTGTCGGCCTTGTGTGTGTGCGTCTCCCCTCGCATTCTGTTTGTGTTTGTGTGTATGCTCACGGTACATATGTGTACGTGTTTGCGGCTGCCACAATGGCATCATCACCCGCCCCTGACGCTTTGATTGTTTTCTCCGCCGCAGCAGAAATGCACCAATTAATATTCAGAGAGTGAGTGAGACAGACACGCACGCACACACACACACACACACACACACACACAAAACACAAAAAAACAAAACAAAAAAAAACAGCCGTGAGGGAGGGGGACGGGGTGGGAGGTGTGATGGAGAGAGAAGTGAAGGGGGGCAGAAGAGATGGCACAGAGAGAAAGAGAGAGAGAGGGGGAAAGAATTGAGGAGATGAAATGAAAGATGAGGAAAGTGTGTTTGTGTGTGTGTGTGTGTGTGTGTGTGAGAGAGAGAGAGAGGGAGAAAGAGATGGAGTGAGATAAGGGTGGAGGGGCGTAGATGGAGGGGGATGAAATCTGATAGATGTTTGAGTAAAAAGAAGGAGAGGAAGAAAAGAGTGAGGGATGAGGCTGAGGTGGGGTGAGGAGAGGAGGAGGAGGAGGAGAGGATCAATATGTACATATTCAGTGAGATATGGTGGGAAATCAATTGAAAGGAGGGGAGGAGGAATTGATTGTGGGGGAGGAGGTGGAGGTAGGGGGTCACGGGGAGGGAGAGAGGGAAGGAGGGAGGGAAGGAGACGACGGAGGAGGAGGAGGAGTGCAGAGGTGGAGTGATATGTGGCTACGACTGCTGTCCTTTTTGTCGCAGTGTCAGGGTATTGATACTGTAATACACTCCAACCCCCCCTACCCCACACACCCCCCCACCCTACACAGACACACCAGCAACCCCCCTCGCCCCCCACCCCCCATCACAATGCTGCCGTGACAACGGCTGTCGCGGCGACGCCTACTGGCACAATGCAGCCACAATACAGAGGGCACTGAAGCATCACACACACACACTCAGAGAGAGAGAGAGAGAGAGAGAGCAGAGCAGGCCAGAGCGAAAGACAGAGGGAAAAAAGAAAAGGGGTGGAGAAATATAAGGAGGGAGAGGTGGAGATTAAGAGGGAGGGTGGGAGGAAGATGGATGGATGGAAAGGGGAGAGAGAAAGGGATGGAGATGGTGATGGGAGATGGAGAGGAAAGAGGGAGGGGACGTGGATTGATGGAGAGACAGGAGCTGAGGGAAGGAATGAAGGAAGGAAGGAAGGATGGATGGATGGAGGGAGGGAGGGAGGTGGAGGGGAGATATGGCGGGATAATATTACATGTGTAAAATGCCGGAGGGTGTGTGCCCATAGAAACATGTTTAATGGCTTTTCTGATTGCAGGGAAGGTTGTGTGAGGTGGGTTTCTGTTTGACAGTGATGTATGCGCCGCATGTGTGCAAACAACAAGGTGTTTACGGTGTAACGTGGATCCATGTTGTATACTTATGTGTATATGTTTATACTACCTGTGTCTAGACATTGTGTATGAATATGTATACATGCACGAGTGTGTTTGTGTAGGGTTTGTGAGATCATTAGGTTGGGATTTTAGGTTAGATTATTGACAGTGAGTGTGCTGTGTTTTATATCTTTCACCCATTTGATGTAGTTATGATCGATAATGAGATATACAGGATATTGTCGCTGTCTTGTAGAAAACCATGTATCTCCAACAGGTCAGCCCCCATTTTCAGCTATGTGACTATGCATTTTTCTGCTCATTCACAGCTTTTTTGAATGGTTTGCTCAACTTAAGAAGTAGAAGAGTTTGTTTTACTCATCCTATCCGAGTTACGTTTTATACGCAGACTTGTAATGGTAATTTATCAGTTTTACATCTGGTTAATCCTTGATCTTTATATTTAACTACGCTTACACATCAGGGTTATACTGTATGTTCTGCTGTGGAAAAATATTTTCTGGTCAACTAAAGTGAAGAAAATATTGACAAGTTGATACCGAGACAATAAAATACACCCAAATCATGCTTTAGACCTCAAATCAGTGTTCACGGGTGTGTTTAAAAAGGTCATTTTGGTGTCAGATTGTTCCTCAAGGCCTTTAAAATTATTGGTGTCAAACTTGTAGTGTAGTATGAAAAAATAAATAAATAAAAAATCAAGTTAAATAAAATAAAAAAATAGAAAAAAACACTGCCTGCTCTGACCTCCCTTTGCCAAAAATGTCTGCGCCGGCATATTACTGTATCTCCCCTCAACATGCACTCTCATTTACAAAAGAAACGCTTGGCTGGCTGCCTATAAGTCAGTTTATCCGCGTGAGATGACCAACGTCCCTCTTTTTCTTTCTCTCCTTTCCCTCTCACTATCTCATACAGTGTGTGTGCGTGCATGTGTGTGTATGATCTATAGTTCCCTGCCTCCCTCCTTCCACCAACCCCTCCCCTCCTCCCTCCCTCACCCTAACCCTTCTTAATATGATGTAAAAAGCTAATCGCATGCAAATGTCTGTTGTCCCGGTAACCGGGCCTGAAAAATCCCTTTGATGTTTCCCCCGACTCATTCTCTTCACGTTCTCTTTGTTCGCCACAGTCTCGCTGCTTTGTCAACATCCCCCCTTTTACCCCGCTCGCTCTCTCTCCTTCATCCATTCTGCAGCTCTCTCGGCCCTCTCTTAGTTCTCTCCATTAGAAAAAAAAAAAAAAAAGTTCTAACTCTACTTTGTGTCTCCCTCTTTCTATAAGCCCCCCTCTCTATTCTTCCTCTTTTTTCTCTCCCCCTGCCTCCTCTCCCCCTCGTGCTCCTGCTCTCCCCTTGACTGTGCCTCTCTGTCTGTCTGCCCCTTCGCCCTCGCTCATTTCCCATCATTCCCACCTACTGTCTCCTGTCCTTCTCCTCTGTCGCTCCCTTTCTCTCTCCCTCAGTTCTGCCCCTTCCTGTCGCCCCCACCACCACCCTCCTCCCTCTTTGCCCACCCTTTATCTCTCATTCCTCTCTCTCTATGTCCCCTCACATGCACAGATGGACACACACACTCTCAAACTGCACCTCCCTCCTTTAGAGAATTTGATCCCTGGAACTATTTGATATGGTGCTGCACTGTAGTTATCTAATCATTCTGGTTCTTGTGAGGCCTGGTGGAAGCAGCCGCACAGCTGGCTTTCAGAGAAGAGACCCCACTCATTACAGCAAGTGTGAGGTTATGAGGTTACAGGCCTAATTTTGAGGTTAGACCTGCTAAAAAGGTTCAAGCACAACCTCCAACCCACCCCACCCCTCCTCTTAAATCCCTTCTGAGAGGTTTGGAACTCGGATCCAGTTTTAATTCAACACGGGAGGGAAAAAAACAGTCAAAGTACAATTATCAAGTAAGCATAACATGCATTTCCAACATTCCACATTCCTTTCAAAAAATGTAAACATCAGGAAGAGTGCGTCGTAGCAACAGAGCGAGAGAAAAGTTTCTACACATTAATACTGCCTTGCCACGGCGTACACAAGTGAGGAATTTCTGCATATGACAATCTATACTGCAGTAGGAATGAAAGATGGTGTTCATTACATTGCTTCCAATATAACGCAATGTACCAAACAGCTAAAGGCTATGAAGTGTACGAGGCTTCTCCAAGCCAACAAATTACATATTGATTCAGAAACGGCTCAATAGCCATTTGCAATTTCTGAATTTGAATGCAGATATGAAACGTGCTAAATCTGATAACGGCGACAAACTGCTGCCGCTGCTGTCTGCAGACACGAGCTTAACCTCCCGCTGCTGCTGGCTTTCGCTACCTGATGGTTTCATATTGTACCTTAAGCATGATATTGTTTGATAGTGATACACATGCTATCCAATCAAACCAGTGAGTGGATGATGATTGGTTTTACTGGCTGCTTGCTTGCTGTCATATAATATGAGCTATGTCTACTACGTTTAATTCTTTTTGGCAGCATCACAACATAAAATGACATTGCGAGCCGTACTAATGTAATTTCCTTATAGAATTCTTTGAGTTCTGAGAGTTTGAATACAATTCAGCAGTGTAACAAGTATTTTTAATGATGGACCCATTAGTGAGTGAGGCAGAGTAGTAGAGGTTAAGCTTCTGGTCTGCAAGTAGAAGTTATTATTGTAGCTATCGTATCTATTAGCTTTGAGATATGACATCTTAAAGTGGAAGTTCAACATTTTGGGAAATCTGCTTGCTTCTTGAACAGAGTTAGAGAGAAGACTGATACCACTCTAACGTACCACAATGTGATGCTTATGCCAGCACAAAGACTTGGAAGCAGGGGGAAACAGCTAGCCTGGCTCTGTCTGAAAGTAACAAAATCTGCCTATTGGGACTCATTAAATAAATCTCATTTGTTTAATCCATGCAAAAAACGAAGGGTATAAACTTTTACAGGCGGTATAACTGGACTTTTCTGTCTGGCACATAACTTCCCATTAAACTACAATTTATCGTTTTTTATGTACGAAACAAACAACCAGACATAATGTGTTAATAAGTGAGCTTTAAAGGTGCTGGTATGTGTTTTTTGACACCTTCGGACAAACCCAGCCTAGCTGTTTTCTCGTATTTCCAGTCTTTATGCTAAGGTAAGATAAGCGGCTGATGAAAGTAGCTTCATATTTTAAACATGAGAGTGGTATAGATCTTCTCATATAACGCAAATAGGCATATTTCCCAAAATGTCAAACTATTCATTTAAGATTTACGATAAAGCAAATGTCCTCACATCACAATTTCATCATCTCAAACATTTTTAGGCAATGGGCTTTGAAGATATCGCGAAGACTTCTACAAACTGTGAACAAGCATTCACAAACAGACGCTGAAAAAGAAACAGTTGGGGGCGTTCTAGGAAACTGCTTTCCTTGGAGCAACAACCTAAAGGTCAGGTCTGAGTAAATTACCTCTTTAAGAATAATCAGAAGTAGTTCATGTCTTCTGGCTGCAAGCACAAAACCAGTAAAACCAGAATATAGCACATTGAACAGATCCACCTTTCTCTATTTTATGGAGAAAGCAGTCCACTCAGAAAAGCTCAGACGTAACAACAATACCTCTTTGTAGAAAACATTGCACAGACACCCATTTTATACCTTTGGCATATATAATATGGCATCTTATATTAAAAGGCATAGTATTCGATTTATTACCGGTAGTTATCAGTACGCTGCAGAACATTTTTTAAGGCACCAAGAAGCTCATGTTGCTGACATAAGTTACACTTATACAATTTCGCCCTTAAATCCTTGCCACTGTTAATACGACATCATTAGCTTAAACAAACACAGTAACAGAATGTATAGCAGTTGGGTAATATAGTACTGTAAGACGTTCCCCGTTCATCATCCAGGCAACTCTTACTGTATGTGTCCAGCTGTAACCTTGCCTGACGTTGATTTAACCACTGTACCAGGCTGTAAAATGACCTCAGTGAGTGTGTGTGTGTGTGTGTGTGTGTGTGAGCATGTGAATAGTGCTCCACTGTCTTATAACAATAAGAATGACTGCATGTGTTGAGGGACACTGTGTTTGTGTGTATTTGTGTGAGCGTGCATGCTCACACCACCCCTGCCTCATTTACATAGATGCAATCACACCTAGCCTATGCCACGCATTTTTTACACAGACAGGAGACAAAAAAATAAACCTACAGTACTCCATTCGGCGTTATGAAAATGACAAAGTACATAATACAAATCTGCAATCCTACGGTGGATTTACGCCTTGTATATTACTTCCTGTTTATTATCAGATGCTGGAGCATGTGATGCGTACAGTCAGCCAGCCAGGCAGTCAGTGGTTCAGACCAAGTGGTTTGGCCTAGTGGGGAGCCGTGGGGCAGACAATGGCCGCACTGTGTGGCTGAAGTGCCTTTGGTGTCAATGACTCTGCCAGCAACTGAGACTGGCAGATCCAAAATGGCGGAGTGCAGAGAGCCCTGCTGGTGCTTGTCATGGTTTAAACAGGGCAGTTTTTGATCCTTTTTTGGAGGCAGCTTTTCTTTGGGGGCTCATATCAGAGCTGGGAGGTTTATAACGGGGAGGAAAGCAGTGCAGCGCGGCTCCGGCTAATCTGCTGGCATTTTATTTGTTTTAAGGAGGTGAAGGGGGCAATGGTGGTGGGGGGGAGGGAAGGGAAGGGAATGCGAGTGAGCATGTGGGACAAGTTCAAATAGAGTCTGAGGGTCTCCGTTTTGTCTTCTTGCTCCTTGAGGTCCAGTTTGGCTTGCCCAGAGGTGGAATGGAGATGTTTAATCTTCAAAAAAAAGTCCAAGGTCCAGTTTCTGATTGGAAAAAGTTAGAGAAAGAGAATTAGTTTTTTACATAAATCATAAGCACTGTGAGTTCTTTCTGTAGAAAAAGAGTAAGTAAAGAGAGGGATGCATTGACATATGTAAAAAAAAAAACACAGTAACTTACTCTTATTGAGATGACGGTTAAACCGCTGTAGAGGGGGACTGACTCTGAGATAAAAAAAAAAAAGCAGAAACAAAAACAGAAACAGTCACATTTTTAATTCTGCGCTAAAGCGTGTGTGCGTGCCAAAGTGTGCATGTACGCGGGCACCAGCGGCAATCCTCCCTCTGTTGTTGAATATGTGCATATCGCTGTCTGTGTGTTTGCCCTATCTGTTTGGGCTGCGTGTGTCCGTCTGTCTGTCAATCTGTTCCCAGCGCAGTCTGTTTGCCAATCTGTCATATTCTGTTTGCTAGATAAGGAGATTCAGAGAACGTGTGTGTGTTTGTCTGTGTGTGTGTGTGTGTGTGTACGCACAGAGCAAATTCATTTAAACCATGGAGATGGCAGGCAGGTATTGCTGTTTCCTTACAGCTTAGAAGATGCACACACACACTGTTTTCACTTGACTAACATACTGAAATGATTTTGCTGTTTAGAGGGTCGCAGACATGCAAATGGCTGAAATTCCTCAGCAGCTAAGGAGCATTTAAGATTAGTTTATTATTTTGCAAAACAACAAATCTTTTATCATGTATAATATGTTACACACGTAAAATTGATAGTGCTGGAAAAATTGTCAAAGCCAAATGGGCCTTTTGAATGCAATCACCCAAAAAGAAAAAAGCCATGCATGAAGATCAGGCAAATTACTGCGAACTCATTTGAAAATGACAAATTTCCAGCATCTGGGGTCTAAGACACTGACCATGTGACTGCGACGTCCAGCCAGGAACCTTTTGTTGCATGCCATCACTACTTTCCCTCCCCCTAATTCCTTTTCACCTCGCTATAAGCTATCGAAGGGACGCAAACATTCTTGAAGAAATACTTGCAGAGGTGGTTTTTGCATTTGTATGCCTTTGTTAGACGGCAATAGTTGAGAACAGCCGGAAATGAACCTGGGACATCTTAACCCCCCTGTTTTCGGGGTGGTTTGGTTTGATTGTCATACAACAACCTACACATATAACACACTTTTTCACACGGCACACAGAGTCGAGTGACGAGTCGCAGAAGCACAAAACAAACAAAGGGCAAACAGCATATAAAAAGTCAAAATGCCTACAATTGAAGCACAACACAGGACAAAACCACTAAAAATGGCCTGTCCCACAAAACCATGACAACCACACAGACGGCTGTGCCCCTGCTGAATTACTCACTAAAAGTTGAGTAAGGTTGAAAGTGAAAGTTATTTTTCGCTGTGACCGCACTGAGTTTTGTGTCTCTCACTTACTCTCTGATTCATCCTAACTTTAATCACACTACAAAAAAAAAAAAAAAAAAAAATCCTGTCCCTGCTTCTAATAATGCAAGCTTGTTCACACTCACATATCATACTTCTCGCACTGCAACATACCATATGTTCAGGCCTGTGCTGTCATTTACTGCTACTGTTATACTATTTCATAAGCCCCATCCAGCCCGGCGTCCACCTGTAGGCTTTGAATCTGCACTCCTCTACAAGCTGATACCATCACTCCTCCCTCCCTGCTGAGTTTGTGGTTAAGGAAGTGACAAAAGCAAAGGCTTGATGCTAAATATGAATGCTGTACATTCACATAATAATCTATTCTATGTCAGCTGGCTTACTGGGCTGATACTAGTGCCAACCAGTGCATGGTTTGAAAGAATGCTGTACTCATTAGCAGTCTCTGACCATGCTCAGCATTGCAAACTCCCCCCTGGTCGTTCCTGGGTCATCAGAGTCCTACAAGGGACTTTTTTTTGGGGGGAAATGCAGGTAATGTTCCCGAGTTCCTTAAAAAGATTCCTGGAAAACCATCTTCCACTGTGGTTCCAGGGGGAAAGATAAACACCCCTAACCTGCCCTCTTCACTGCACATTCCTCACATTTCATATCTATATTTAACCACGGTGATGTGTTGGGTAATTTATGCAAATAAAAATTATTTTGCCACTTTGGAATCATTGGATTGTGTGTTATATGGGCACACTGTGACCCTACCTGCGAGTAACTTGTTGATCCGGAGCTTCTCCTGGGGTCCCTCCCAGACGCTGGGGATCCCCCCTCCTTCTGACTGCCGACCGAGGAGGAGTCTGAGCAGCTACTGTGGACTGAGAGAGGTGGTGATGGGTTAACAGACAGCTTCAAAATGCATTAAATCTAGCAGGTGTTAGACACACATATGTATTTTGCTGTGAAATAATGATACCATCCTGCATTTAGGACATGATTTGCATGCATGAATTGCCTCCCATTTACACTAGCACTGTGTGTGTGCATTTCTATACTGTAAAAATCTGTGTATCATAAGGTTTTCTTGACATGAAGAATGGGGAACGACTGGGTAAGGAAGACAAAGGGAGAGGAGTCAGAGAGAGGAGGCATTTTTCTCATCCTGTTCAATGAATTTCTAACACTGTGTTCTGTCCCGGAGGACAATTCATGCATTGAAATCCTGAGCTGATGCACTCAATGAGACACCTGGTGAGCAGTATGTGCATTACACTGAGCTATGAATGGGAAATTACTTTGGCTCTAGGGCAACAGCGGCCTTTGGAGACTGGATTGGGGGGTCTGGAATCTGAAGAATTACATTACAGATAGTGTGTTTTTTTGTTTTAAGTTTTTTATGCTTTAACCCTGTGGACGCACCTCGTTTTTCAAGGGGGGGGGGGGAACTCCACCTACAGATGTTGTAATATGATTATATGTGATGTGCGTCACAGGAGTTATTATGCGAGTGTAACTTTCCTTCAACCTGCCTCTTATGGGTCTAACTCAGTTGGTCATTTTTCATGTGGAATTCTGACTATGCTCGGTGCATTCAGCTGGGAACTGTTGTGAACCTGTTGCTGATTGTACGTGTAGGTGGAGAGCGTGCTAATGCTGCTGATAGCATTAAGTATAATAGTAAGAGGAAGATTCTCTCAGTGTTTGGTTGTTTCTTTATGGACTTTCAAAGAACTGGCAGATTCCTCTTAATTCATATCGTTGCACGAACGTTGAACAGATATAAGTTTTAGAAAGGATTTCTGCATTGAAGCTACTCAGAAAATACCTCAATATTTGGTCAGTTATCAACAGGAATAGGTGCTATATGGTCAAAAGTTTGATTATATGTTATTACATTTCTACTGATCCGTAGGTATTTTCCACCATCAGTATGTGACTATATGATAACTAAAGGCAAAATCAACTAATCAAAGTTCAAAGCAATGAAATGTGTTCCACTATGTTATGCATTTAATGAGACCAAACTCAGTAACCGATTTTTTTAAACTTTAATTACAGCTTGATAAGTCATTAAACAGAAATTTATGGAGCGATAACATGATAATATCATGATATGATCCCACTGAAAGTCAGTAACAGTCATGTTTTAATCATCACCCAGCCCTACAGAAAACAAAATAGAGGAAATGCAAGATAAAGCTGTCTTTAAACTGTACACCAGCCTTCTAGGATGGATGTTTCCTTTCATTTCCGCCTTTTTACGGATACAGTATAGGATGACAAAGCCACAGTTTAGGGGAGACAGAGGACTGAAGGTTGTGATGGGATTTGATCAGAGCAGAAGTCAAATCTGTTTCCACAGTCGAGCTTTTTGACTGCGCTACATATTCTCTGCAGGCATGTCACAGCTCCTCAAAATTTCTCAGTGTGAGACAAATATCAAAAATTCATAGAGTAGCCCGGGGGCGCGAGATTGAAAAAAAAACTTGTACCACGTTATTACCTTGTCACATGGGGAGATACACCCGAGACCCGTTTTGTTTTCTGTCTGTAATCTCAGGACCACATCGCGTTTCAGCTCAGAAAGCAGATTTGAACAATCCAGTAATCCAATCTGGTCACATAAAACCGACTGACTTCCTGAAGCCACAGTTTGAACTGACAAACGGTTTAGACTTTCTGTATTTGTAAGGTGAGAACCGCACTAAAACTCTACACTGAACTATTATCTAATGTTTACATGATCATATTCTCTGTAAGATTAAGTGTTTTTCCCATTAAAAAACAGTTCCAATTCAAATCTCTGATGCAAAGCACAGTGCTTCTAGTACCTGCAGCATCCCATACATACTGTATTTGTGTTACAGATGTATTCTCTTTAGACCCTACCTCTGTCGTTAAGACTGTAGATGGAGTCCAGCTCTGAGCCTGGAGTTCCTGTCGCATCCAGCAGCAGCTTACTGGAAACTCCCATGCAGAGTGACTCCTTCAGACACAACTCTGGGAAGAGCGGAGACCAGAAATCATGAAAAAAACAATATTGCATACAGAAACATAATGTACCCAGCTGCTTTTGCGACATGCTCTTTCACATAGCTGCAGTATAATAATTTTCTTATTTTTTTAAGGGACAGGTGTAACAGGGTAATGTAAGAACTCCATCTATCTGGGAAAATACTGTTTGTTTATTGTTTGGGTACACGGGAACAATGTAGTTTGAACACCAAGTAACAGTGCCTAAAATGTGTCAGTTTCTTTATTTTTTTATGCCAGCTACAGTGCATCTTATCCAGTGTGATACTGTAACCTGAACCTGCTACAGGAAGCATTCCTGAGACACAAGCCTTTATGGACACAGGGAGGTGGATATGACATGTGATAGCCAGCGGTCCCTTGTGCTTGGAATGCTTTAGGCATTAACAAATGAACAATCAAACAGCAGAGTGGACTGATGCGGATATTTTTTTACATGTTCTCTATTCATAGGAAAGACAATTATCATCCTGGATAAAGTTACAATCAGATTTGTCTTTAATGCCGTCTGAGGGCAAGAGAATTGTGAGTCCATGTGATACAAGATCAAGACAATGCTAAGAGTGACGAAAATAGAGATTACCGTAAAACTTCCAATAAAAGCAGGGTCCCTAATAGACGCAGGTCTCATTTAAAAGCCTGGTGTGGATACACGTTTTGACAAATAAACGAAGGTCTCCAATAGAGGCCTGGATTTTATAGAAATGATCTTGATGTATAAATTCTCTTAAAACCCACCGGGTCGCCCGCTTGAGCAAGTTTTAAGTCGTTTCAATCTCCTACACAAATATAAATGTTTAAACTTCGGTCAGTATGTACATAATGCACATCATTAGATCAGTTATAGATTCTCCGCAATTCAATCGTTCACTATATTTTACGAAAACAATCAACAACAAAGTATAACGTTAATTCATTCTGACTTACCGGTAACATGGTAAACAAGAGAGACGTAAAAAGAAACCTCTGAAGCGATCATAATCATCATGTTAGTTGTCAAATTTAAAGTAAAGTTACAATCAGATTTGTCTTTAATGCTGTCTGAGGGCAAGAGAATTGTGAGTCCATGCGATACAAGATCAAGACAATGCTAAGAGTGACGAAAATAGAGATTACCGGTATTGCAAAGTCAATTTACTATTACTTTTGATGTAATTAACTTAACAACACAGATTTAGCATTGGACAGTTAAAAAAAAGTTTAAAATCCATTCATCCTTTTTTACTCCATGCATTCTTCTTCCTTGTCAAACCCTGGCACCTACATTACCCACAATGCATCTTAATCCCGGGAGTCTTAAGTTGAGGCTCCTGGGGTCAAAGGTCAGACTGTACCTGTGTTGTTGATGGCGTGTGTCCACAGCAGATGGGCAACGTCATGAGTCCAGGCCACCCTCTCCTCCCTGTCCTTCGCTTGCAGCGTGACACAGTCTCTGATGCGAGGAGCCTGTCGCACCCAGACTTCGAACTTCACGCCATCCTCCCCAACGCTCTGAGTCAGACCCATCTCACCCGTCTGCAGGGGGGGAAAACAGGAGAAAAAGTCAAAAGAAGGACTGGAAAAGTGGAAAAAGAATAGAAGGAAATGCAAACTAAGACAAAAAGTCGAACTGAAATGCCGAGTGTGTATGGCAGAAAAGTCAATTTGAAAGAAACCAATATGGAATTTTTACATTTTGGTGACAGGGACCGTCTTCTCATGAGTTTCTTCCCTATAAATAATTCGCCTAAAAAAACTCAGACTGAGTTTATCTTAGTTTGCTTTCGAATGAATCAATACAAAAAGTGGATTTTCCTCTTCAAACGCTGTCAGGACAGAGGGAGATAATGAAAATTAAAGAAAAAGATTGTGTGTAAAATAAAGACAGAGACAGTGTATGTGTGTATGTGTGTATTTGTGTGTGTTTGTGTGTGTGTGTGTGTGTGTGTGTGTGTGTGTGTGTGTGTATGTGAGGGATCTGTACCTTGATACTGTGTTTGTAGCTGTAGGAGATGCGTCCCGGGCCGGGGCTCTTCTGTTTGGTGAAGATGACGACGTGCTGGTAGAGGAAAACATTCCTCACGCCTGCCCGCTTCCTCCGAGCTCCCCCGCACACCGTCAGCTCGCCCTGCCGCACCAGCTCGCCGCGCTCCGCCACGGGGATCTGGGATCACACACGCACACACACAGACACACACATGTTAGGATACATTTATCTTGGCCTGAGGCCCAGGCTGAGGGCCTTTATCTGCAAAGATACCATCATAATTTCTATCTTTAGCCTAAAATTGAGTTTTAAAATTATGTTTTCTTTCAAATCTAGTTTCTGAAACAAGTACAAAAGTATTGCAAAAAGCCAGAGTACTATAATAAACATACTGGGAAGCTCCTGAAATAATCTCAGACTTTTTGGAGCATTTTAAAGGGCCAGTGAGTACGCATTTTGCTGCCTGCACAAAAATGCTGCGTTAAAATGTCTTCTTAAGGTTATTCACACCTCTACTGCCTGACAGGAGCTCATTGGCCTGCTCTCTGCTTCGGAGCTAAATCTTATCCTTTCCCCCCGTCACCTCCTCAAATTTTCGTTTCGCAGTTGCGAGACATTTCAGCTACAAAGACTGAAAAGCCTTGTTCTCGAGTCAATAAAGAAAAGGACAAAGCAGTATGATTATTACAGTGCCATGCATGGTGACATACTGAATTCCTTCTTCACAAGGATGATTTCTTTCTGTTGGATCTTTGCTCTAATTGGCCAGCTGACTCATGTCCTTTGTAAAAATGTGACTTCATTGTTCATGTCAATTACAGGGCTAAAAGACTTTGTGATGTTGCTGCAACTCCTTCCAGAGGCACATAGAGGTTGGTAAAAGTCAAATCGTATGTAATGCTCCTTAAAGGGTGGAGGGGGCAACATAAACGATACATGTGGCTGACATTTCCTATCTGCTCTGCCAATAAAATTAAAAGGACTGATAATTTACCAGCAACCTGTCACTCTGAGCTTTTATTTTTAAACCTCTAGAGATGTGTGGGTCATAATATAAGTGATGCTTCACACACATTATTAACACCCACATCCACACCCACTCAGACACACACACACACACACACACACACACACACACACACCTGCACATACGGTCGTTTTACTTGGAGAGCTTTTGCAGTGCAATTTGAAGTAGCTCAATGGGAGTGTTTGTGCTGCCATAATCTCTCCCTTCACTGGGGGAGGGGGGGGATGATTGTGTGTGTGTGTGTGTGTGTGTGTGGGTAGGTGTGTGTGTATGTGTGGGAGTCAAACGTTTGTCACGACTACCTCTGAATGATACTGCTGTGTGAAAGAAGCACAATACGGGGCAAGTGGATGTGGTGTTTTCTGACTTTCTGATAAAGGTTAAAGCTGTTTTTATATTCATAATAATGTGCAAGAGTGGTATAAAAGTGTTCTCCTAGTGGTCTGGCTAAGAAAATGCCATCTTTTCCCCCCTGAGCTACTTTCCTCTATGTGTGGTCTGAACTAGATTAAAGACTCTTCCATAGTTTTAAATTCAGATTTTCTTGAAAAAAAAAAAGGATTTTAAAGGAGCACGAAGGATCACACCTACAGTATTTTCACCTGGATTTTATATTCAAACACACTCAAATGTTGTTGTGTTTCCTAATGCAATAAGATGCTGATCATTGTAGCTCACAATAAACTCGGTCTTCTTGTGATGAGCAAACCTCAAAACATCTTCCAGTAGTAGAAGAAAATCAGAGAAAATTCAAATGAGCTTCTGGTTATGCACTTATAGTCATTTTAAAGATGGTTAACCTAAAGAGTATTTGTACTTTTTTTATATTCAAAATAAACACTGATAAATCCTCTTTTTAATAAACAAAAACTTGAAATAAAAAGTTAAAGAAGTGATGAAACAATTCCATCTCTTCCAGCTGCCTGACCTCATCGAGATGAGTTAGTTTCTTTCCCTCTAAGAAAAGAAAGTGGGACTTGATTCACAGTTGCAGAGTCACAAACTGGGACAAGCGTTCTCACCGGACATCCGACGATGAGGTCACTGGCCCTCAGGTCCTCGCCGTGCCGCTGGGCATGCCTCAGGATGGAGAGGGCGGAGTCGGAGGCGGGGTTTATCCCTCCCAGCTCCTCCAGGGCCTCGCAGTACTGCTCCAGTCTCTGAGTGGGAGCCTGAAGACAGTGAGGGAAGGACAGAGGGGAGAGGGGGGAGGCTGAGGGGAGCTTGGACTGTGGGAGAAGGGAGAGAAGATGGGAGTTGCAGGAAAAGGAAATGTTAGAGCAGGTTGTCGCTTATGGTGTCTCATATTCACACTTAAAGTCAAAACAGAACTTCCAACAGTTGTAGAAGTTGATTGTGATTGTTAATAAACCTTATACCGCACAGGAATATCCCTGAAACGTAAAAAGTTCTGTATAATCTATAGTCACTAACCAAGATTTATTTACCATAATGCATTGCACAGAAAGAGCAAAGAAGGTAAATGTAGACAGATGTCAGATGAGAGGAAATTTGTTTTAGATTTTTGCCATCTGGCCCAATATGTAAGGCTCTACATAGTGAATAGTAAATTAGTGTATTATGTCAGAAACAGCCACGGTGGGTTTTGGACAAATGTCAGTTTTAATTTTTTAACAATTTCCCATATGCCAAGCAAGAAAATGAATGCCTCTTTTGCATGTGAAACACATATTATAATGTTTAAAAAAGTTTTCTTTATTTAAAATGTCTTCATTTTTACTTTCATGTATAGGCATTCAACAGGTTTAAGATAAGAACCTTAACATTGACATTATTTAGCCTCCAAAATAGCCCTATTTACGGATATAAAGTGTGTTCTCTCACAATATAGATACTAACAATACATAAAGAATAAAAAACTAAAAAATAAATATAATATTAACTAATACGATAGATATGAAATGATAAATATATGATATCTTTGTGCTTCAGATTTTAATATGGGTGACTTTTAGTTGAAGTCTATTCATCAGTCTTGAACGACAGCCATTACAACAAATGTTTTAACTGAAAAATAGTATTAATACAAAGTAGCACAAAAGTATTTGGAGAAGATTTACAACAGCTAAAAATACATTTTAGTCCAAGATGATTGAGGTCTTAACTAGTCTTCAGTTGATACTTTTCGTTAATGATTATTTAGGTTGAATCTGATGACAAAAATTGCTGCACATCTATGTTTACATGCTTTTGTTGTTTTTGGTGAAGAGCTCTTTTGGTCAGTAGCAATTACCACTCCAAACGTGCAATCAGGGTAATTATTGTTTTAGTCATTATATCTTCAAGTGACGAGCACCCGAGCCTGATTTTGCAGTCGTTATTGGTCGAAAAATACAAATAAACTACAAACAGAACGACATTTTAATCAGTTCCTTTCTTTGTGAAATCACATCCTCCCCCAAAGCAGCCACATGTGCCGTTCTCTCTCCTCGTCGTCATAACAATCATCACCGCCATCCCCCCAAAACGATCCCCATCATCATCCAGTCTGAACACCAGTTTCACGTCCATCACCATCACGATAACCATAAACCCTCCTGCAGCCATAATCCCCAATATGTTCAAGTCGTTTTAAAGGACGGGATGTGAACTCACACCGCCTCCTGGTGGTGGTTTCTTAGAAATGCTCCTTTTATGAAACACTTAACTTGAATGTAGCCTCAGAGATCTTAAGCACTGTGATCTCTCCTTGTAAAGTCCTCTCAGTAATCTCATGATGTTGTCGATGTATTAGTTTTAGTTAATTGTAGCTTGCAAGCTCAAATTACTTTCTCTCTAATCCGCCTTTAATTGGCTTTTCTAGTGTACATTAAACATGTAATTAGCTTTACTGTATACAGCTCATTTTTAATTGCAGCCACTGTTCAATAAAACAACTTTAATGGGTTTGTGCTTGTGATGTGCTCCAAAATTACTCATAATGATGTTCTCACATTGTGATTTAACAGATTTTCTTAAAGGGAAATAAGCAAATAAAAATTCTATGACCCTGACACCCTTATTATGTGCATAGATTCAGGAATGTGTGATCATCTGCAAGAAAACACGGCGCTTTTCTTTAATTGAAAGTATGTTTACTGAAATGAGTTGACACATGCAGGGAGACCCATTAAGAAAGACTGGTTTAACTCCTCAGATTGAAACCCTTCAACTCAAATGTCTGTGGGACAAAAAACAACTGATGATTTAAAGAGATTCAAGGGTTGAATTAAACAGCAGCGACGAGATGATTCTTACCTTAAAGAAGTCGGCAGCCTGTGTGACCAGCGGAGAGTCCAGTTCTGGTTTAGCCCTGATGTAGTGGGAGTACTGCAGGAACTGCTCCCTCTGTGTGTGTGAGTAACAGATACATAAATGAGAGAACGTAGGGGGAATTGATGTTTCATATTGTGGTCTTTATTGCCTCTAATAAGGTCAATCACACAATGAATGGGTTAAATAAAAAAATAGGTTATTTAAAGCAAATTACAACTACTGTTTTTTAAAGTGCTACACTTGTCTGCAGTAGTGGAAAGTAACTAAGTATGTTTACTCAAGTACTGTACTTTAGTACAATTCTGAAGTACTTGTACTGTGAGTATTTCCATTTTCTACTACTTCATACTTCTGCTCCACTACAACTCAGAGGCAAATATTACACCATTTACTTTTTAATTTAAGGTACAAATCAGAATCTGATTAATGCTACAAAATATAATCAACAAATAAATAATGATAGTATTATATCAGTAAGACTTTATTGATTGCTGGGGGAAATATACAAGCTACCCAGCATTATATAAAGCATTATATATAAAGTATATATTCATGAATTAAAATCCCCCCCGCTGCAATATTAAAGTCATGAACACGATATATTTCATCAATAATCAATAATTATAAACCAATAATATATTACCATTCTGCATGATAAGTACTTCTGGTAAGTATTTCTGTACTGTGATATTGTAATATTATAATAAAGTTTCTTTCACCACTGCTTATCTGAATCTTTATTTGGATGCATTGTGGTAAATTTGAAGTCAAAATCTGTAACATTTTTACATTAAAATGTCTGATATTACCTATCACAGATATATGTGTGATTCTTGCACAAAATCCTCAAATAGTGCACAACAAGTATTGCATGCATGCTGTATGTATGCAGTATGCATTATATTTCAACCAACAAAACATGGACCGACATGTTAAAACTGATTTTGGGGATTTCTTGAGGTTTGACTCAATACGCGTCTTTATCTTATTGTTTCCAAACAAATGTGAGCAAGCCTCTTCCTGCCTCGAAGTGAATGAAAAATGAAATCTTCCATTTCTAGCCTCAAAATGTCTAACAATTAGATTGCTACATGAAAGATGTCTTCAATAAAGTACAACAAGGGCCTTAACAGAGTTAACACTGTTTCACAGGGGGATTTCCAGTAACTCTCCAGATCAGTCTGTTAAAGGAAAATGGCATCTTTGGGTCTTATTTTTGTACTTTTGGTCCTCTTAAATAACACTACAGGTACAGTTAAGAGGGCTCTGCAGTGCACAGTTGTGCATGCATACTTGGTATACATCAGTGGTATCCAACCTGGGGATCAGTGCCACTCAAAGGGCTTATGGATAAATCAGATTCTTAATGTATTAGGGAATGAAAAAAAGTAAAATTTACATACATACATACTTTTTCTTTATTCTTTTCTTTATTTCTTGTAAAATACTGGATAGTTTTACCTCATCGGGCCTCCGTATAATCTTCACATGAATAATCTGAATAATCTTGCTCATCCTCAACCATAGACATACGAACCAGATTCTAAAAACAATGTTTTATTCTTTCACCTTAGATTCCTACACTTACATATTTGCTGAAGCAGTCCTGTTGCAACAAGCTCTGCACAAGCGCTCCCTCCATGGCAGGGAGTAGGTTCTGCGAGTGGAAGGTGCTGAGGCTGACCCAGTTGGGGAAGAGGGTGTCCGCCTTCCCCCTGATGGAGGCCGGGGTGTCTAAGAGCTCCAGTAAGGGGAGGTATGTCTCTTCTACCCCCTTCAGGACAGCCACATACTGCCTCTCTGAACTCAGCATCCTGCACCAGAGTAGGTACAACTTACTGCAGGACAGACGGACGGACGGGGGGGAAACAAGGAGACGATAAGGAGAGCAGGAAAATCGTTGAGTAAATTTGCAAGAGAAACAAATGTGGGAGAAAGAGGAGAAGCGGGAGGGAAGAAGAAGTGGGAGTGAAGATAGCAGTAAGAAATGGACAGAGATCAAACAGTTAGTAATGATAAAATTATCAGAGATTGCATGCTGACTGATAAAATCGTTCTGAAACAGACTTCAGTTGTACTCAAATTATCCCAACAAGGATGAATCACTTCACCCTTTCATCTCAGCCTGGCCTCCTCTTAAAGTAATTTATAATGCTGGTCTTGTTTTGGAGCTCACAGCCAAGTCAGACCTACTCCTTCTTATCTTCACACACACAAGTTCCCACACAGTAAAACGCACACAAGGGACAGTTTATAAAAATAAAAAAACTCACCTCTGTGCAGTTGAACCGGCCCGATCTGTCCCCGTCTCCCTCTCAGTCCTCCCTAGCAGCACGTGTTGCCTTGGCGACCCCGTGTGGTCCACCACCTCCTTGCTGCTGACCTCCACCCCTCGAATTAACACCCCACCTCCTCCTCCTCCGCCCCAACCAGGGATGGCTGCAGCCATGCTAGTGGTAATGACTGGGTCAGCCAACGCCCGTCTCCCCAGCCAGGACATCGGGGAGCTACGGCTCGACCCGCCCACCGGGGACTCAGCAGGTTTGGGGGTCGCAGTGCCTCGGCGGGGAGCCAGAAGAGCCTGGAGGTCAAAGCTTGGGTGGCGCTTCCTGGGGGGTTTGGGAGGGAGCGGGGCGTCTGTGGGCTGCAAAGTGAGAAACACTGTTATAAACATGATATTAGCAATAGACAGATTAAGGTTAAACCAATACGGTAATGTTGACCTGTTAAACTTTTTTTTTTTTTTTTGCAATACAATAAGCATGTTAACACAACATTGCCATCACTGTAGTAAGTTCAATAATTACTCTCCTTTTAGCTCTGTTTTGGTCTCCACCAACTCCTGAGGGAAATCTGGATCTTTAGCAGCTAGCAGTGGTGAGTTGTCAGTTAAGGGGTGGAAAATAAAAACAATGAGCTGAAAGTTGCTAAAACGGCCTTCAGAGTTGCGACTGCAGAGTTGAGTGATTATTCTCTGTGGGTTAATGAGTAACACCGCTAACATACAAGCAATCGTTTGATCCATTGTTAATAAAAAAGACATAAAAGCGGCTTCGATGATGATTTTGAAATTACATTTTCTATTACAGTGATTTCAATAAGGATAACAGGCACAAATCAAAATTGTAATTGGAAAGTCTTATCTTTTTACACTGGACCAGGCCAGTAACCAAAAAGGATGAAGATCCATGTTTCTAATTTGAATGCTTCAGAGCAACAACTACATGGATATCAAATATATGACAGTGTATTATATATTGTGTACACTGTATATTGACATTACTGAAGACTATATAAACTGTACTAACTGTAATGTAATATATATCATGATATTCATGTGTATTGTCAAAGTCAGCTGTTAATGGATAAAATTAAGTTTAAGACAAATGAAGGTACTTCTGAACATTGCTGCAAAAATACATAAAAAACATATAAAATCCAATATGATCATAAAGTATTTCTGCACACTGAAATGCAGCTTTGCCCTCAATGGCTCGATACAACTTGAAAAGGACAGCAGGCTCCTTTAGAGTAAATGCGGTGTTAATGCAGATATGACATTTGAGAGTCAGCTGCATGCAAGTGGAAAATAAAACTTTGTCGTTCCTCCTATCAAAAGACAAGTTGACCTATGAGCCAATGTCCAAGAAAAGTTGTCCTCTGTAAACCCCTCGAGAGGATTTCTTTAGCAGTCCCATGGGGATTTAAAATCTGGATCCTAAATATATATAATAAAAGATTTTCCACGCACAAGTCAGGTTTTATAATTAGATTCAAATTCAAAACCAAGTTGATTGGCCACTACAGCATTATTATATGGTGAAACCCTAGTGCAAATAGGATTGTTTGTCATGCTGAGGGGCATATTTTCGATTTAAAAAAATAACTGCAGAATAGAATAACAGAATAAATTATAGAATAACACTGAAGAAAATAAGACAGATATAAAATATTCAATACAAAATAAAGCACAAACGCACACTCTTCTTTGCGGGATTCAGAAGGTTCTGCAGGAACTTCCCTCCTCCAGCTCCGCCTGCTCCTCCTCCGCTTCCTCCCACTGCTCCTTCTTTCTTATTCCCTTTCTCCTCTCCTATCTTCAGTGTGGAGCAGGTTTGCGGCCTGAACAGCGATGCCAGGGATCCCCAGGACTGTAGCCCACCTTCGCCTCCTCCGGCTCCCAGACCCCAGTCGCCCTCTCCCTCAGGACCCATCAGGTCCCACAGGCTGCTGGCAGAAGGCGTCTTCGGCTTCCCCTGGCCCTGATTCTGGGTCCTGTCAGACTGGAGGAACCGCGGTTTAACCTGCGCTACGGTCCGCTGGTAGCGCTCTACCGTCTGGGTCCATAGATCCAGGAGCGCCCCACCACCAAGCTCTATAGCTAAGGAACGAGCATCCTGGAAACGGGACGGGGGGATCGGAGGGAGGGAGGCGAGAGGGCAGGTTGAAGAAGAAGGTGGTGGCGAGGAGGAGGTGGAGGAGACTGCGTCGCACCACTGGGTGGCCTGCACAGGAGACGGGAAAGAAAAGATGGCTCTTGTTTGCCCTCAGGAAGATTTGAAAGCATTAATGTGTGATCATAACTTCCTGTGTGCGTAACAGATGGCTTCCTGTACTGCGTTACCTCGGTCAGTGTGGACAGCAGCCTCTGTGTGTTATCCAGGGTGGTCCAGCAGTCAGACAGACAGTGGGACATGTCTCTCAGCTTCTCCCGCACTGGAGGAAGTCGGATCTGGACATCGCTCAGGCCTGCCCAGTCCAGCTCGCACCAGCCCTCCAGATCGCTGAGCACCGACAGAGTCTCACTGTGCAGATCCTAAAGGATTCAGGAAGATCCACTGTGAACTCATTGCCTGGATAAACCCTGAAGTGTTTATTGTGGAGGGTTGACAAGATACACTTGGGAAATCGTAAATGAAATAATGGCAACCGCTGCTGACGGAAACAAGCTGACAAAACTTCCATATTAGCCTGTATCCACAAGAATGAGACAAATATACCACTGAGGGAGCAACATGGGCTCAAAACACATCTGTTTACATTTTACTTTTTCAGTTATTGACTCCTCAAGTCTTTCAGTAAGTAATTCAGTGTAACATGCGTAGCTTAGGGGTCTTACAGAGCTAATAAGATTTACAGTCCTTGAGTTAGAATGACAGTCATATTGTTTTAATGGAGGACATTAGAGCAGCAGGGAGAAAACCTCACTCGAAATCATCTTATATCGTCTGAAACATTCTCAGTATGTTGTCAAATTCACTCAATTTGTCTAGACAGGGGTGGTCACAAAAGAAAATGTGCATTTAATATTTAGTAACCAAACACTATTCCTCACAAGCCCAAGACCTTTGCAGGTCAAACGTTAATAACTTGACAGAATATGGCCACTTAAGCAGCTGCGGCTAAGAATAACACGGAAAGCCAAACACCGTCAAAGTTTTTTTTAAACAGATTACAGTTAAAAAGTTGGAAAAATGACATCAGGAGGCAGCGTTGGTGGATATAACGGAGAAAACACATTTATTTTTTTTGGTTTTAGAAAGGCTGATTAAACTCTATATGAGAGAGCATTGAGTCAGGGAAGGTGGCGGAACAGCCACTGGTGCAGAGGCGGCATCAGGAGTTTGGCTTTTTGTTAACAACAAACTTTAGGTACGCTTCAACAATAGCTAAGGATGCATGAGAAAGGAATGACCTGTTACAAAAAAACACAATTATTATTATTATTATTATTATTATTATCAGAATAATAGCAAATGTTAGAATGTGTAACAGTAGCACAAGTGAAGAGTTATCAAGTCAGCAAAGTGATTCAGTAGCACCAATACCTATCTAAAATTTGTATTTGTATTAGCTAACATTAGCCACAATAACCTACCAGTCATACCAGACCGAGTAAGGCTGCAGCAGTAAAAACCCTTAAGAGTGGGAAGTGAACAGTGCATTGTATTTGCTACGAATTCAGCTTTTAAGTAGTAAGTGGTAAATGTCTAGCCACTATGTGTAGGAGTTATATAGTAGGTATGTTATTTTATAATCTTTATCTTAACTTTTTGTCATGTCCATGTGTGTACATGTCATTCTTCATATTACCACCGAATGGCGCCAAAGTAAAGAATCCATCTTGGCTTCAATCCTTACAATCTTGCCGTGATTGTGAGCCAAATACACTGAAATAGTGTAGTCTTGCGTGAAAATGATGCACATATTTTTGCTGTACAAAAGTCTGAATAAACACTGTACCAAGAGCAACAAGTATCAAACACTCACATTGGCTGTTTCTCTGAAAGTCTTGAATTTCTGCTGTTTGAGCGAGAGTCTGCTGAGGGACAGAGGAGGGTCCTTGTAGTCTTCCAGCTGTGACTGGACTTGCTCAATCTCCTTATCGCACTGGGGTATGAGACAAATAGGGCGGAGAGGGGTGAGAGGAGGACACTGGACATTCACAGTATGTGGGGGACAAAGAAAGAGAGATGAGGGAAGTGAAACTCGACAGAGGAATGGATACATTTACATAAATCCCAGTACTCTGTATTGCATTTGACACTCTGGTATCTGACTTGTTGTGTTGTGTGCGAGCAAGAAAAGGGAGTAGAGTGAGAAGAAGAAGCACATTTTAGAGAAAACACATGTTCAGTTCACATGGCAATCACCAAACACCAGCAACTCAGGGAGTTTCCATCCAAACCCTGTTGGGAACAGTGGAGAGGAGTGCGATTCTGGACACAGAAAAGTTGCTTAAAAACTCAGATATTAAATGGCAGATGACAATGACAGCCACTAATCTCTGTTTTTGATCATATTTAAGGAGAGAAACTAGCCATTATTGAATTCTATTATCCTACAATGGCAAGTTTATACAGTAGGTTTGTTCATTTAGATTCGGGAGAGGCAAGAGAAGGCACCTAAAGGTCTGTGAAACAAAAATAAAACCACACTCTTCTTCCTTCCTCAGACACACACACACACACCTTTTCCAGTTTTTCCGCCAGCCCCGCCAGTCGTCCCAGAGCTTCCAGGTCGTGGCCTCTTTGGTTGGACACTCGGACGAGCCGGTGGAGGGCGTCATCCACGCTGTCATAGAGTTGAGAGGTCGCAGCGAGAGCAGCCCTGATGGGACGCAAAGAAAAAAAGTCCAAAATGATCAAGAATCATTTGCTGATGAACAGAAGGGAGACGTTACTTCAACTACTGATGACGGCGAGAACGTGTCGTGGCCAAAAATCGCACATTCTGGCGGGTAGAAATTATGTTATTATGAAAAACACAACCAGATCAACTGTCAGCAGGAAAAGGAATCAAATCATCAATCAGTCTATACTTGTATTTGGCCTCATTCTTGTACAGGCTGGGCCAAACCCCTCATTACTGGATGAGAAGAACAGCTACAAATGCAACAGTCTTTAGATCATCTTTAAGCTGCAGTCGGGCACAAACAAACAAGCTGCACCGCTCTGTCCTCCATTTGATGTTCACATTCCTTTTTCTCCTTCAGCTGGTTTTCATATTTTTGGCTGAAAACAAACAACTCTGTTTTCACATTGAGGAGTATTTTTAACCTATAACTCATCTTGACAAAAAAAAAATCCTTCAATCAAACCGGGAAGTAAAAAGAATATGCAGATTCCATTTCTGCCCCTTGGGACCAAGCTGCTTGTGTAAGGTGGTTTCTGCATGTTTTAGTATTTGCCCAATTAGAATTTTTGTGTTGTTCATGACGTCTGTATATTTAAAATAGTCCTACTTCAATAGGCCCATGTCTGAAGTATATTCCAGCAGTATGCAGTCTCATTTATGCACATGCACAGGTTGTTGTAAATAATGAGTGCAGACTGTAATTAGTCCATGTACGGAAAATTATTAACCTTTTTTTTCACTTCTTTTCACAATATTAATTAATTCCTTGTGTGGGGATACATTCACTGACTGTAGTAATTTTCAGGATTATGCTACATGTAGGGTTTTACATTAATCAAACTTATAATACCATACCAAACAAATAATCCTGTATTCAGAGTAATTTAATTTCCAACAAGAAGCCGCATGCTTTCCATCAAATTAAATATGACAGTAAAAGGGACCTCTAAAGCAGCAAAATTCTACACAAATCTAAAAAATTAAGCTTCTGGTACCTGCAGTCTGGTGACTTTTGTGCAAGTCCAGTTGCGCTATTGGTCAGTCCTGCGAGCCAGGCCCCGCCCCTTTGCTGCAGTTCGGTTAATCTCTGGTCGGCCAGGACGCTCACCATGAGCTGTCTGTGTTTGTCGATGCTCAGAGGAACGACCTGAAGAAGAACACTCTGCTTATTAATGTTTCTGTGGACATTTATGACTATTCTCAATCACCAGACTGCACACTATGAAATCTGTGCTTGGCTTCTTTCCGTCATCCGAGACTTGTGTACCTTGATGTTGTCTGGCATTGGCTCAGCGTCCATAGACTGTAGTGCTTCTCCTAGGAGTGAGATGGCGCTCTCACAGCGCTCTGTCAGACTCTCCAGGCTCTGAAGGGAAAGAAGAGGGAAGAAGGGAGGAGAGGAATCAGTGATTTTGAGATTGGAATTCCATCAAATTGGATGAAAACGCAAACAGTATAAAGCACACACAGGTTAGTGTATGAAACTGCTCCAAATCCCTTCTTTCTTCTCCATTTTTCCATGAGAGAGGTCAGAGAAAGTGCAGAGGACAGGGATCTTTTTTCCTCTGTTTGGATAAAGCAACATAAACTGTCTGGGGAAAAGCCATTAAGAGTCCTTAAGATTCTTCTCAGATTTTTTTTTTCCTTGATGTATCTTCAACACCCAGTTCATCATGAATCTTAGAAATCATCGACCACCACCGAGCAACCTCTCTTTCCAGCCAACATCCTCTAATCTGTCCTTCCTCCTGTCTAAACTTTGCTTTCTCCCACTCTACACACTCACAATATTTTAAACTTGAGGTACACAGAAGAAAAACCCCAGTAGTTACCAAAAAGCACCTTAATATTGGGTGTTTGCCTTTTTTGTGTGTCCTCTGTGCTCCACACTATCGTCTTTAATTACCAAAAAACAAAACATAATAATTGATAAATGTGAAATTTCGTCCAAAACCACAGCCCGTAATCCTATTGCTTATTAGAAACCTTTGTCATTTGTACATGTACAAATGTAAATGCAATATATAATCAAATAAATGTAATAATTTAGCAAAAGCATAGTTCATCTTAAATCCCTGAAGAGATAATTTCCTGCTTCAATTTCCTCAAGACCAATCTTTAAATCTGGCTCCCTCAGCTTATTGTGTCTACTATTAAAAACTGAAAAAAAAAAACCAATGAAAGTTATAGAAAAATATTGAAGAGGAAAGGAAATGGAATACATGTTATTTAAAAAGACAAGAAATAAATGCAGATTCTCACTAGTCTGAAGACCAGCCAGTCTGAGTGACAGTGGGTGAAGTCTCCATCCATCTCTTTGGGCAGCTGTTGCTTGTCTACATATTGCTGTAGGACCACAGTTCCTCGCACCAGGTGGATCTGGAAAGGTTAGGAGAGGGAATGTTTGAAAAATAATGAGATTTTAGGAAATGTGGAAAAAACGTAAGATATGAGGAGACACTGCTGTAGACTAGCTTATGAACTCTTATCTAAGTGTTTTAAATGTCCATTAAATATAGATAGAGTTGATAATATTTTGTACTCAGATATAGACTCTTCCTTCCAGATTCTGAGGGTCTGACACATATTCTTTTTCAGCTTTCTTGAAAAATAAAGAGCTGAGAAAGCAAAAACATGTTCTCCGATTACACTTGCATAATCTCAGTTTGTTAATTTAACAGCAGGAATAAAAACAATTACTACCAACAACAACAACAACAACATAACAGATTGAGGAATGTGCGCTGCAGCTCCAAAAGCTTTTTTTCCCCCTGACATCTTTTGGGTCTGATTTCCCTTTAACGTGCAACGTTTGAACACTGCCAGGTTGAAATACAAACCACATGACAAGAACGGTGTTCTCATGCGTGTGTGTGTGTGTGTGTGTGTGTGTGTGTGTGTGTGTGTGTGTGTGTGTGTGTGTAAGAAAGAAAGATCTCTGCTGATCAATGCAAAGCTGAATTACGGGTAAAATGGGAGTTATTTGCAAACTCTAGATGTGCCAAATGTATGTAAATAAGGTTCATTTAGATTCAAGCACAATGTGAATGTGCGCTCCAGCTAAGAGCATCTGACATTCATCAAATTTTAGCAAGGCACAGATACAAAGCGTGGTTTATGAAACGTTATTTCCTCTTGAACATTTTGCATTTCATATATGAGCCCTGTTGTTACGATACTGGCCAATGGAGGCTCAGAAACTTTCATTTTGCTAATGTTTTCCCACGCACTTTATCATTCTAGCTCTGGCATGTTTTTAAAAGTACCATGTGGCCTTTTTACCTGTGCTTTAACATTTATACTTGCAAATAAAAGAAATAAAACTAACTTAACTGGAAGGAAATGAACAACGCTAGGCCGTGTGCGTGCCGGATCACAAACTGTAAACATGTGATTTGTATGAGGTTACCTCTGCTCCCTCCAGATTATGAGAAAGGGACTCCTGCTGCTCTTCTACCAAAACCAGAACAGATCCAAGACCGCCAGGAACCAACACCTGGAACGCACAAAACACACACACACACACACACACACACACACACACACACACACACAAAAAAAAAAAAAAAAACAACACAACACAAACACAGAAACACAGATGCTTGAGCTACTTCATCACATCTGCAGGCAAATGAGAGGACACAAGCAAACATTTAGCACATTTGGCTAAACAACGTCCCCCCCCCGTCCGTCTCACCTGGAACGATTTAAGCGCAGAGAGGCAGAGAGTGGAGGGTGGAGCGCATCTGCTGTCCATTAACACCGTGAGACCTTTTTCTCTAGCTGCAGGCCTGATGAGGATGCACGGAGAGAAGGGTATGCAGGGTTAAAGCAGGAGCAGTCATTAAAAGAGAAAATCAGACACCAGCAATTAAAAAAAAAATATAATAATAAAGATGAATGATATCTACTAATTTAAACCAATTATAGTACTTTTTTAGAGGACAGTTAGGGGGTTGTCTGAACTTTTAAATGTCTTAATTTCTTTCCCAAACCTGTTGGAACTTTTGCTCAGACTTGCTGTGAGCAAGAGGCGAGAGGTGATTGTGTTAGGTAAGCTGCCAAGCTCAAATAAAAGCCGTTTGTTAGACTGACTTTGAATCCGTTTGTTATGGTTTCCTCAGCATTCTGGCAAACGTTTTCTTAGCCCCACCTTTTGCTGTATTTGGCAAAGTCAGCAAAAACTAAGTCAAGTCAAATATAATTATGAAGCAGTTTAGACAGAACAGGTCTGTAAACGAGCGGTGTGACGAGAAATAGAAATGACACAAGTCCAAATATAAACATCAGAGAACAAGCTAATCAAATATTTTAAGATATATGCAAAATGATAGATATACAGGCATAGGTTTTTTTGAGAATGTGAAATCAGAGCATGAGCATTGGGTGAATCAGAGACAACAGAACAACATTATGAAAGGGGACAATGTGCACCATAAGGTCTGCTACATTTACACCTTATACCTTAATTCCTTGTTTATATATGGAAACTTATTTTAAAGGGATGTCTAAAACAACTGCAGAAATCTGATGGGAGCAGGAAGAAAGCAGCCTTACCGAGTGATTCTGTGGTAGCAGGCCAGTACCCGGGCCATCTCCTCCTCACAGTAACTCTCCTCTGATGCATCTGTCACCATGACAATCAGAGCACGTCCCAACCTGTCAACTGTACCTGTGATCGGGAAGCATCGGGTTAAGCGCTGAGTGATGATGCCTAGGTGAGGTTCTAACATGCTGAGACTCCATTCTGCTACAATCATTTAATTGTTTTGGTACATATGCTGTCAAGCTTGTCAGTGTCATCCACTTGTATTTAGGATAATCGTGTTCAAAGTTTTGGAGCTGCATTGCCTATAAAGTTTGGGGGATGCAAACAGCAAGTACAATGTTGGCATTAAGTGAGTGAGTTGTGGGCTATGCCATGAGCTCCATTTGTTTATAGTTTATAGTAAAAATTTGGACCATAAAAACTCAGAGAGAACTCAAAAATACAGATAAAAACTAATGGATTGCTTTTGATATTGGGAAAAACTTCCAAACGTGACAGTTACGAGGCATTTATGTACAGTAACCATGACGCACATTGGAGATATTGATGTCCATGGAGAGTGTAAGTCACACTGAATCTAACAGAATGTGTATGTCACTAGTCCAACAAACAACAACAGCAAACACAGAGTCGCACATCTACAAGACTAACTGCAAAGGCAGTGCAAGTAGAACAAGTTCTGCAAAGAGTGCTAACTAGCATAAAAAAATATAGTAGTTTGAAAGAAACTTGCCTGTCAACTTTAGCTTCCCTGACTGGAGAAGCTCTGTGTCCAGTTCCCTCAGCAGGGGAGGCTCTTTAGATGTCACACCATTCAGAAGGTCAGGACATGTCTCTCCTGACCTCGCCTCCTCATTAGAGTGGTTAAATAAGGATGTGCCCGATTGGCCATTGCAGACAGGCAAGGATTTGGCTTCTGCCTCTGTTGGGAGATATGTAAGTTATAGAAATTATTCTATGGGGTATTTTAAGACTTTTAGGATCTTATGTCCATGCATTAACATTCATTTGGTGTCAGACCTTCACTGTCTTTCCTTGTGTCCTCTGTCCCCTCGTTCGTTGAAGGCGGCAGTCCGTCAGGTTTGTCTGCCTGTTCTCTTTGATCCGACTGGTTCTCCTCTGTGATTGGCAGCTTTGTCGAAGCAGAGCAGGTGGTAGGACTTGGTTGAGAAGCTTTAGCCTGCTGTTTTGATCCCTTCTGGTGTGCACGGCCACCAGACCTAGCCCTCCCTTTGGCCCCCTTTCCCTTCCTTTTCCTCCTAAAGACAAAGCACAGGAAGGTACTAATGAGGTACAGCAGCAAGTTAATAAGTGAATAATAAATCACCTTATAAATTATGTTGTTTGGTCATGATGTCCTTTAGGTTCAGATGATGTATTTTGTTGCATTGGTTTCAGGCCTTTACTGTATGTGTGAACATTCAGACAGTCTGTAACTTGTGCACAGAGTTTGCACCAAAGTGTTACTTAAATGTACTTTCATATGGAAGTGTGAAAATGTAAACAAAAAAGAATGAGTGCAGTGTCCTATAAGAAATACATCTGTACCTTGGCGCTCTGAATCCTGCAGTTTTAACTTCCTTTCCTCTGGGACACACTCTGTCCTCCGTCTTCCCTTCATTCCTTTCTTCTGTCACCTTTGGGTTAGACAAGCTTTTCGTTTTAGATCCACTTTTGGTAACCTCTCCACTTTCAAAAACGCCAGTGAATGATCTTTCTGTCGCGTCTGATGTTGGGGTGGTGGCATCACTGTCTCCGCTCAGTGGTTTATCTGTATCCTCGAAAACAGAGTCTGAATGAGATCCGTGATCTGAGTGGCCCTCTATAACATGCCCGACTTCGTGGTTTGTCAAGTCATGGATTTCATTTGTGACCAAACTATCACCGCTTCCTGAGTCTTTACCTCTGTGCTCATCTCTGCACGGCTGGCTGAGGCCGTTGCTATCTCTCTCCTTGCCCACACCGGGCCTTCTCTCTTTGAATGGGCCATCAAAATAAAGCCGGTGGCTATCCAGGCCCCCAGAGTCTCTGCTTGTTTTATCCCCTTCATCAGAGTCGTGGACAGAAGAGGAGTAAGACCGCCTGCCTCTGCCAGGTTCAGCGACTCCTGGTGGAGGCCGAGGTGGCAAAATGTCTCCTTTTGGGGTTACTGTTTCTCTTTTGGCACCAAGGACAGCTCGAAAACTTCCTGACCCTTCCAGTCTACCGTATCCCCAAGCTTTCCCCTTCCGGAGTTTGATGGCTTTACCTCTCCTGCACAGAGGCAAAGTCTTGGTCTTACAAATTCCATGCATCTCCAGGTACCTCTGCCTTGTGTCAACCCCTCCATCAGGACCCACTCTGGGTTCCAACAGCTCCACATAGTCCCCGTCCAGCTGAGGGTGCCTCGCTGTCCGCCCGAGCCCATCTTCGCTGCGTCTTCGGCGGGGAAGCGCAGGCGCAGAGTCCAAGCCGTCTGGTTGTAAACCATCATCTTCCTCCTCATCCCAGGACCAGGAGTCCAGTTCTCCAGAGGATGAGCCACCCCAGCCCCCGAAGGCTGCTGCCCCCTCACTGGGCAGACGGTTGGATACGGGGCCCTCGTGGCTGGACATCAGGCCCAGCTCCTCAGAGGGGTCGTGGATGAATTTTGGATAGACAACCTCCTTCCACGGAAGTCTAACCACACCATCACATGTACTGACCAGGCAGGTGTCGAGTCCTCCTCCAACTGTGCAAAGATGAAAGAAGTTTATGTCTGTATGTTTATTGGGGGTATACATTAGACAAAAAGAGTGATCCTACTTTAAAAAAAAGAAAACACCAACATAAGCTATGTGGAAAACATATGTTTAAACTTTTGCTGCCCTTCTTTAGCACTGCTAAACCACCCACCACCTGCTGACACCCATATATCTCTCCCTTCTCTTGCTGCCCTTCCACATGCCGTCTGTTGGTCATAAACTTCTAGCTACACATCTGTTTCACGTCCCCTGTTCTCCCTGTAATCTTCCTCACAGTCATTACATACTGGCCAAGCTGCAAAGTGTTGATCATTTTCAACTAAATACCTTATTATTAACCTAATTCTGGATTAAACCCTTAAAAATACCTCAGTGGAAACCTTTTCCTGACTCTTAACATGGAATACCAAATAAAAATTTGAATTTATGATCAGAAATTAATTCAAAATCATGTTTTATCCTGGTGGCTTTGCTAGTAATCACCACATGTTTAAAATCCTTTCCTTACCTTCTCTCTTGTGGCCCCGCTCTTTGTTGACGCTGTGCAGCCACTCAGTGGTGAACACAAGGGGGTGCTGTGACTCAGGTACCAAGATTTCCTGAACAGTGCGCCCCCCAGGGGCCAGACATTTTAGGGCAAGGCGGGGGCAGCGCGTGGAGAAGGGCACCACCTGCAGATAGAAGTCATTACTGCGCAGAAGCCTCCAGTCCAGTGTGGAGAGCTGCACGACCACTTTCTCACCTAGACACAAAGGCCAGCCGGAGTGAAGGAACAAGCATCCCAGGTACTGAGACTGTGATGACAGAAAGGAAGGAAGGAGAGGTAGAGAGTGTAAGAAATTAAACCTTCATCTGCATGAAATTAAATCTATGCATGAATCTATCCTATTTAATGGTCATGCACAATCTGGCAGCCCCATTCACAAACTACAGCCGGCATGAGCCAATTGGAACCTGCCTGCATAGTTGTGCTTGGCTCAGCTATTCAGTGAGTCGAATTTCTAGAACTGATACCGCGCCAGTCAACAGTATTGACTAGCTCAACTGGCCAAAAGCCAGTGTCACATACAAATGTCAGACATGTGACTCACATAGTGTTTTCTAAAGTGTAAAACTGCTTAGCTGGCATGACGCAGTGAGAAGACTCTGGATAGCTGCAGAGAGTCAGTGTGAGTCAGACATGCAAACATGCAGATGACCAACTCTTCACAACAGTCAGCCACTGTCAAAATAGTCCACTGCTCCATAACTGGAAAACACATCAAGTAGCTGAGAAAATGATTCCAAATCAACCACGCTAAACAACGTGTATCTAAATATAGATAATCCCACAGCAAAGCATTTACTCAAAAAAAAGGAGGGGGGAAGGAGAGAAGGCCTCTGATCTTTTGCACTATAAATCGACTGATCTGTTTAGAAAAAATCCAAATGCTATTCCCACCTTAATCAATCCTGTGTCAGATCTATATCCTCTCTCTCACAGTCTGAGGTATAAAACTCATCCAGAACCTCTCTCTGCTGTTCCCAGTCACGTCTAATCGACTGACACAGGGCTGCTCCCTCCCCCTCCCATGCCCTCCAGACTCACGAGACGTGATCAAATTATATTCCTTACTCGACCTCTCCCCCAACTTCCATTTCTACCTCTCATTCAATTTATTTCCTTTAAACCTCTCTCTTGTCTCTTTTCTTGCCTTTTCCCTTGCTGTAGCAAAGTTTTAGGGGAAGCAAAAGTCTGATTTCTGTCTGGGTGCATATTAGCATTAAAAAGCATGTGTGACTTTTATTCTCTTAAAAAGTTTGTCTGTTTTAAGTAAGTCCACATTCTGTAACTCTCTGTGTCCTCTGGCCCTCCTCCCTCCTCCTACTTCTCCCTCAATGTACCCCAGTGTTTGCTCCCTCTTCCGCACCTACCATTTCTCAAAAATTCCTCAATCAGTCTACTATAGTCTGCAACCTCCAGCATCTTGTCTTTTTTTCTGACACACACGCACACACGCGTTGCAGGCACGGTGAATGAAAGCCATGTTCATTCTCTCCTTCGACTCCCACCGCTTCTCTGTTACTCACTCTCTCTTTCTCTCACAGCAGTAACACGCTCACATATGGAAGGAATTATTGTCATGACTCACAGTCTAACTCCCGTCCCAGGCAACTCCACTCAACGACAATGAAAACATAGTTTGCTCACAATGCCTGTGCGTGTGTGTGTGTGTGTGTGCAAGTCTAAGAAAACTGTAAAGGGAAATACGAGACCTTTCTTAGCCTCCTAGCTTGTGCTAAACAGTGTGTGCTGTTTATATTTGTGAGTGTGTGTGTGTTGGAAAGTAAAATCAAAGGAATGCTGTTCAGTATAAAACCTTGGAGCTTTGAGTTACCAGTATGTGCATGTTGCATCTCATTTGTTTATCTTGTTTTAAGTTAGGCATAAAGTGTAAGACGCACAGCAGAAGTTGCATGTTTGCACAGAGTATCCTATATCATACTATTTCCATTCATTTGCTTTGTGTATGTGTATAACGCTTTTATTTATGATTCATTTCACAGTTTTTCCACTTATCTCAGTTCAGTGGAGCTTCCAAGACAGGAAACCACCTTTTTTATCTGCGGGTCACAGCGGCTGGTAAATCTCAAATTTCACCAGACACTTTCACTAATTTTACCGGCCATCCAGAGTTTTAGAGCAGGCTCGACCCTCCACAGTGTAGTTCGTAACTTGCATAGGGTCACATATGTGTCAAATTATAAATGCCCTGAACTTTCCTTCGCACTGGTGTCTCTGATGTCATCAGGTACTGCGATAGTGAAGATACAATACTGATTCAACGCACAAAAAGAAGGACTTGACATTGACATGGCCTTGACTGCTGTGAGTCTTATCTTACTTGACATCTGATTGCCTAAGGAATATTTAAGTCAAGTTTTTACCTTCTAAATAATTCTCATAATGATCCCAATAATAATGCTTGTATGAAGACATATGAACACATGAACTCATTTTGACTTGTTCTTTATGACTTGAGTCTTGAGTTGAGACTTACTTTAACAATATTTGAGACTTTAGAACTTGATACTTGGCTGAAGACTTGATTTGACAAAACTTGGAATTGCCCAAAAAATAGTTAAAAACAAGTGAAGCCTTACAAAGACTGGTGATCTGACTAGAACTTGTCCTTTAGGACATGAGAAAGGATTTCACAAGACTTGACACTTGACTTGGGCTTGTCTCAACTGACTAGGGCTTTCTCCAAAAGACCTGAAAACAAGTGAAGCTTTATAAAGAGAAAAAATGTTACTAGGGCTTGTCCTTTAGAACTTGAGACTTGACATAAGACTACTCTCTTTTGCCTTGGACTTGCTTTAAAAGCCTTAAAGTAAACAAAGCCTAATGGAAACTTGCAACTTTAACTGAACTTGTCCTTTTTGAACACGAAACTCAACTTGGATTTGACTCAAAGGACTTGAAACATGACTTGAAACTTCCCCTTTAGGTCTTGATACTTGACTTGATATATGACTTGGACTGGTGGCCCCAAAGACTTAAAAACAGCTCTGCCAATACATATACATAACAATGACCAGATGACCTTTGTCACTACAGGAATCAAAACCACTGGCAGATTTCTCGCACTATGCTTTTTGCGCTCGACAGCTGATTCTGCTTCTGATTAAGCAGCTATGTGTGTGTTCTCATCCACAGTGTTTGCAATTTGGAACTCACACAGGCATGCTGCTGGAGTTTGTGCAGGAGGTGCTTGGCAGGAACGAAGTAGTCCAGGAGGTAGCGAAGACTGTCGTGTTGATAGGTTGACTCCAGGACCGAAAAGACCTGGACAAGTATGCATAAAGGGGCAAAAAATCTCACATTAGACGAATAGATGTGCAAAATAAAATGCAGAAGATTTTACATGTCATTGCTGTCTGCAGAAATTCCTTTCATCTTCAAAATATCAGCGTCTCATGGACTAAGGGAACCCTTGTTTCAGCTATATCTCCCTGCATTTTTGAGAGTATCCAATTGATTTTGAAGGGGGTTTCATTTGCTCAGGGGGGTATAAATTCCCTCAACCCAGACAGCATGTAATCAGAAATTAAACCAAGAAAATCACGAAGCTGCTTCATTTTATCCATATTATTTTGCCAAGCAGCTTTTTCCATAGCAACAAAGAATTCGATTGGAAGCTAAACAATTGCCAAATTTGCATAAACGTCAACGGAGAACGGCCCAAACGCCGCAGCTCAAATGCAACTTTGTCCACTGGCTTTTAGGGAAACAAAGCTAAAAGCACTAAAGACAACTGTAACTTTGGCACTCTGTAATGTAAGTTGGAGACATTAGCTGTAAGAGATTGAACCGTTTTTCACAGCTGACTGCTCTTTCTTACAATAAATGTTAGGACTTAAAAGCAGAAATAGTGTGCAGTTTTTGGTTAAACAAGTCATGTCAGGCTCCTGGTTGGAGGAAGAGGGTTAGGCTATAATTGACCAGCTGGCTAGATTTTGTTTGTGTTGGCTTCCAGCAACAGTTTACATCTGGGGAAAGCCTTGTTATAACATAACATCGCCTCCCCCACATACTCCAACCATCACCTTATCATTTAATTGAATCTGCATTATTTATATTCCCCTGTTTACCGCCGTGAAAGATGTGGACTGGAATAAAGGTGTGTGTGTGTGTGTGTGTGTGGGCTTGTGAGATCTACCTGGGAGAGGAGGGGTGGCGCCGTGCTCTCAAAAGGAGGGTAAAGCGACGAGAGCGCCCCCTGCACACAATCCTCCATTGCCTCTGAACCCTGAGAAAAAGATAAAGGTGGTAAGAAAGGGTTAATCCTTAACCGGACACTGAATCAACTCTAATGTCTGTGTTTGTGTTTAACAGCCGGGTTGTCTCGCTTTTTGCTGACACACACACACACACACACACACACACACACACACACACACACACACACGACAATTATACACACATATTCTACTTTCAACTTCCTGTTGTATGGTCTGGGGACTGTCAAACGTTTCCTCCAAGGCCCAGTAAATGTAAGAACCCCCAGAACAAAAGAGTCAAACCAATGCAACATGTTAACTCCCTAACACACACACACACACACACACACACACACACACACACACACACACACACACACACACACACACAATACATACATGCATGCATATTCACACACATACATCATAATTCTGGGCCGGCCAGTGAGGTGGAGGGTGACAGAGCAGTGCACGCAACACAGTGTTTATTTTTCTACATGGACCGTTGGCATGGCAACCTGCAACTTTTTTCTCTCTCTTTTCCAACTTCTCTCTTTTCTCTTTCCCTCCCTTCACGTTTCCTCTCAAACCTCCCCATCTGTTTCTCTCTCTCTTTTCCTCAGTTTCATCCCCCCCCCGCTCTCTTTTTTCTCATCTCCTCTTTTTTTTTTTTTTTACTCAACTTTCTTTGTTTCACCTCCGTCCGACTCTCCAAATGTCATCTGACAACGATTACATTGGGATTCTCTTCAACAGACGGCATATTGTGCTGAATAACTACAACAACCGAGGGGATGGATCGAAAAGGCATGGGAGAAAACCCAGAATGGGAGAACAGAGTGTACGGAAAAAGAAAAGAGCGGCTAGCATGAGAGGGGCCAGGAGGGAATGAGCTGGTGGCGGTGCGTGGGTTTATGGAAGAAGACCTAGGTTCCACAGTATTTGAAAATTATTTTTTTGGGTTTGCTTTTGTGTACAGAGGGGGTTTGGGGTTAGCCACAGAGGAGGATAGAATGAGTATTACAAACAATAAAGCATTTGAGAAGAGCTGTAGTTTTTCTGTGACTAACAACTTGCACAACTTGTGCTCTGAATAAATACATTTGAATCAGGTATTCAAACTAAGGTTGAAACAAATGTCTTATTTGCATTTGTTTTTTGACCCAAGTCTGGAGGAGAGGGGGGTAAAAAACTGGCCATTGCAGGAGACTTATAAACATAGCAGGACTCTTAGAAAAAGTCACACCAGAGCTGCAGTATAACCTCCTATGGTTAACTCTGGTTGGGAAACTGCTCTGCTGAGGTTGCTCGGGGTCACCCACAGGAGATGTTAGGTTCTGTTTCGGATCCATTCTTTTGGCTGCAGAGCAAATTTTTTAACCGTGACTTAAGCCCGTATGGCACCGACAACAGAGTGGCACTATCCGGGCTTAAATAAAAGAAGAGCATTTTGGATGGGAGCTATACGGAAAATTGAGGAAAAAAACAAATGACAAAACTTGCATAAATGTTGCTGAACACAGCTCAGTTTTCCAGAAGCAGAGCAGCTCCAAAGTCATGTAAGTCCATTGGCTTTTTAGTAAACAAAACCACTGAATCACCAAGAGAGGTTTTTTTTCTCTTTTGGAAACCACACATAAAATGTTCTTCTTAAAAAGGACACAAGGGTATGTGTCAAAATCATTCTTATTCATCTTAAAAACGAGTGAAACTTTTGCCAGACGGCTGGAATGTCATAAGAGTTTCCAGGTAATTAACCTTTTGAAGAGTCATTATGCTGAAACAAGGCAAAAAAGAGCAACGGTGCACCTCACTGCACCATTCCACATTTGAATTCACACTACATTAAAAGTTAGTTGCAAAACTTTAGCAAGAATTTTAAGACCGACAGTAGATTAAATCACTTTGCATGTTTAGACTCATGACCATAAGCTACTATATGATGCAGTGTAAGATGTGTCACGACATAAAACATCTCGGATCAGTGCTTCTGCTTATGCATACGTCTTATGAAACTACAGGCTCTATACTATAAAATAAATATTGCATTATTTAAAAAAAGGAAAATTCTAAATGAGTCATATGAAAGTCTGTGTAAAGACGTATATATAGGAGGAGTTGTCTGTGTGTGCACCATGGTAAACAACAGTGTGTCAGAGCATGTTGTAATAGGTGTAGTGGTTGTAAAAGAGCCTTCTGGCTCACTGACAGAACATACTGAGTCTAGTAAAAGCACAGCAGGAGGTTCAGGGATTGCAAGGCAAGTCAGCGGGAACTTCCTCTTAGACTAAAGCCCTTTTAAAGCATCCCACAAGACTTCAACGCAACACTAAATTAAAGCCGAAGCTAAAACAACTCTTTTGGTCTGTTTTCTCAAAGACAGAACTCTTTAGGTATCATCGGACTGACTATAAATGCCAGTACAAGCTTGGAAATGAAATAATAAAAGCATTAAAAGCTTGTGCACTTTACCGATGCAGGTTGAATGGGAACAACTCTGCAATTGAAGCCCAATAGAGCCCCTCAAATGTGTGGCTTGTGCCAGAGAACACAACTTAATGCACCACTCGTAGAGCTTCATTACTTTAGTGTTTGCACAAATAGGCCACTCGGGTTTGAGAGAGCTGTCCTGAAACCATTTTATACGTATTAGCGTCACATTATCTATCAGCATTTTGCCAGCTAGCTAAACTCAGTGTAGCTTATGTAGTTACAAGCTAGCTAGCCTGCAACAATATTTGGTTTGGATGCGTGGTGTGCAATTGTGTGCCACCAGCAACCCCCCCCCAAGCAACCCCCTCCATTTTCCCTCAGTCAGCATTGACTCTGTGTTTGCATGCCTGTACACAACTTTCAACAGGATATACCACTGCCCAAATCCAAAGAATGGAATTTCAGTCTGGGAGCACAATCGCTCAAATACAGTTGAACTGATGTCTAGTAGTGAGGAAAAGAGGGATTCTGCTTTTCCACTGAACCAGAAAATCCTTGTAAAAATCTGAATATCGCTTATTTTCCATTCAAATCAGGGTAAAGGGTCAACTTGATCCATTTGTTCTGCCCTGCTGTCTAACCTATAGCTTACCAGTGCATCTAATGCAATTTACTTATCTTTTCAATCGCAGGCCAATACGTGCACATAGAACAAAGCAGCCCTGATGAAATTTGTAAATTAGATTTCCTTTAAGACAGGAGTCTCATGGTGCCTCCTCTGTAAGGGACTATAGGTGTAAGTGAGTTACTCTTCAATCGGATACTTAATGCTAATGCACTCAGGTGTCTTATTTAGTAAGTCACTCTGCTATGTAGTGCAATGAATCTAGAACAGAGGCTTTGTTTTTGCATACCGCAGATTTTTCCAGCAAATGCTACTGGCCCACATCTCCAATGTCCTTTGGAGAACTAGCTGTATGCACGTTATCACCAAATAAAACCAAACTATGAGAATGATGAAGAACAGATCTGCGTCAGGGCCTTGACGAGAAACATGACAGTTAATTTAAGGCATGCTAAAAATAGCTTCCACCAGAGAAGTGCATGAGTATTCTGTATTTTGTTAACAAGTTCATGGGATTGTTACATTGTTGAAGTGATACAAATTAGAGCATTTCTTTCAAGACACAGAAGTGAAACCGCTGTTTAGAATCTAACTGTCGGCTTTTACCAAAGAACTATACATTGTTCTCTGTGTAAATATCAAAGGCATTACATCTGAATCCATATACAGAGTGAAGTGTAACATTGCATAGTTTTTATAGGAACATTTTATGATTTAACTATTTTTGTACACAGGGAAGACTGTTTTTTCAATGCGATACATATTGTTGTATATCGCAATACTGTAAGCTAGGCGATATATTGCGATTTAATTTTTAAAAATTAACTTTTAGGAAAACTGTCATAGTATAAGAACACACCACTATATGCATAAAGTGACCCATCCTATATACATTATTATATACATTAGGAGCAGTGGGAAGCCTAGGCGCCCGGGGGACGATGAATACAATATCACAAGACATACGATATATTTTAGATATTTTTTTCACACCCCTATTATCTAGAGCCAGTGCTTGTTTTTTCCGTTCTGAGCTACTGTAGAAACATAGCAGGCTTGGGGCAACTGGATAGCTCACCTGGTGGCGCTAACGCCCCACATACCAGGACTGAGACCTTGCTGCGGTGGCCCAGGGTCCGACCTGTGGCCCTTTGCTGTGTGTAATCCCCTCTCTCTCCACCCCTCTCTTGTCACTTCTCAGCTGTCACTAGCCATTAAAGGCAATAAAAGCCCCAGAAAATTGGACCCGCTCCCTCTGTAGATAAAAACTGCTCATTCTAAGGTAACAAAAACACAACAATTCTTATTTTCAGGTGATTATACACTAATGAAAACATACCTCTGAACATTACATTCCATTTCTGCCACACACTGGACCTTTAAAAACCCATTGGAGTACCTAAAAATGAATTGTCACAACAAAGCTAAAAACAGGACTGCGTTTCTTAGCTCATGAGAAGTTGATGTTTTGCAGACACATGGTTTTCACAGGATATCAGCAGCATATTTATAGATGTTATATTTTATACATACATATATATTAAATCTTAGGGAAGTTATCACTTGGCCTGAATTTCCATACTGAAGCTGCATGATTACAACTGACCTGTCACCATGACAACTGAGCAAACTCCATCATCTGGGGAAAGACTGTGACATGCAGTTAAATGCTCTGGAAAAAGATTGTAAGAGGACCTGGCGTTAAGCTTTTTTTTCTTGGTCAAACTGTAAAAAAGTATTACACACCTAACTCAAGGCCTCCCTATGACAAAGGGTTCTGTCTTTTCAGGCTCACCACAGCTTTCATTGCTCTACCTTCACCTCCGGCTTTTACCTGCTGACTGTTCTGGCTACGGACAACATCTGCAAACACAAAATGTCCTGTCTGTACCAGTCACAAGGACATGGGTGACATCTTACTCACTTGGTCCACTGTTATTTACAGTTTGCGGTCATAAAGTCACCGGAAAAAGTGTGTGCGTGTTCACATGGCACGTGGAGTGTTGGTGAGGACATGAATGTGCATCCTCCTCTTTGTGTCAAATGTGGACACAGTACGGAATGAGGGTATGTCATTCTTGCGTCAGATTTCCTGTCTTTCTCTCCTGTCTGCAGACCAAAACGGAAGAGGCAGCACTGGTCTTCCAAACAAATGCTTGGCACAGAGGGGAAAAAAATTGAAAAGAAAATGTAGAAAGAAAAATAACTTAAAAAAGAGGATAGAGAAACTGGTAATACACTTGGGAAGGCAAGAATAAAGCAATAAAGTGGGAACTCAAGTGGTTTTGGAAGATATACAGCACTTCATGCCAGCTTAATTGAAGTGTGAGTGAATTGAGAAACAGATTGAAAAACAGACAGAGACATTGAGAGAGCCAGACAGCCCTACAGAGACCAAGGGGTTCAGACAGAAAAAGGGAAAGAGGAAAGAAAGAGGGAGGAGGCTGACCGGTGGGAGAGATCGATGGGAAACAAGAGCAGCAGCAGCCATGATAGAAACCAGATGTAGACCCATACAGTACATGAAGGACGGAGAACGAGAAGGAAGAGAGATGGAGCAGAAAGAAGCTCAGAGAAGGTGGGGGTAAGAGAAGATGAAATGATTAGGGAGGGAAAATGAGAAAGATGCCGACGGGGAACAGAAAAGAAGGGAGGAGACGGGAAAAAGAGGCAGACAGACAAAGGGAAAGGAGGATGAAAAGGGAAGAAAGGCCTGAGACTGATTTCCTCTCCTAAATCTTACTGTATAATCTAACCTGACCTACAGTAGGTCAAACAGCTTGCTGGGATTTTTTTTAAACGGATTGTTTTAGACTACTTAAGTGCAACTGTCTGCTGCTGAATAGAGTAAAGGCAGGTTTCACAGCAGATTAGGTTTCACACTACGCTTGGCCTCCATTCATTGTCTATTGTTTGAATAGTGCGAAAGCCTGTGTATAAATGTGACAATTGAGCTTGGTATTTCGTCACATTTATTGGTGTTGTTGGTCTTCCAAGTGTGTGACATTTCCTGAAGTAATGGCTTAGGTTTTGCTGGGCCATGCAGACTGTTAGCTTTCTAGCATAGCTGCCCCGTCACATCAACCACTACCAATATACAGTGGAGCGATGTAGAGTGAAACTTAAAGGACAAGTCTATTACAGTTCCTTCTAGCTCTCATTCCGTCTAATTCACCAACCAAAAGGGAAATATCTGGTTCATGTTCCATTCTCTTTACCTGCTCGTTGCTAACTCTACCGTTTGGCGCTGGGCAGGTAGCGTACAGTGAGTTTATCAGAGCTTTACCACTGAAAACGAAGCGAACGAGAGCAGTGAGACTAAAACAAAGTTGTGGGCCTTAAAACCAAAACAATGAGCTGAAAGATGGTAAAATGCTCCATAAAGCATAGAGGAACTACATAGTCAGATCACTACCCACATTATGTTAATAGCTATAATCTGCATTATAGGGAAAAATAAGATGAAAACCATGATGAAATGCAAATTAAAAACAAAGAAGCTGTGTGGATGCCTAGTAAAAATGCCAATAAAAAATGGCCAGAAGCAGCAAGTTCAGCTGCACTGAGAAGTTGCCATCCTTGGTCTGCATGCACTGCACTGCACGACTCTTGACAATCGCAGGAAACTCAGTTAAAGAGAGATTCCTATGATTGACAACCACTCTGACCCTGTCTGGATTGTTCGGGTGCTGTTATCCCCACCCGCCTGGTACTCCAAGCAGGTTAAAACAAAGACAGAGAATTGTTTGCAATACCTTCCATTAGACTTCTTTTTAATAATAGTCTGTTCCTTGGCCAGACTTGAGGACTGGTACATCCCATTAGTGTTTCAAAATCAGAGCTCCCCAGACAGAGGGAATGGAAATACCCTCTGCCACATATTCTTGGCAAAAGGGCACTGTTGTATATGTCACCGAACTGAATGACTCCGTGTGAATAACTCTCTGCTGATGCATTTTAACACCTATGTGCATGTGTTAGAAGCCATGTTTGTACCCCCCCGAGTGAGTGTGTATGCACGCACTCATTCCCCGTGTGTTAAGTGTTTTGGACACATGTTGTTTGGAGGGGTTGTTTGTTTGCTCATACAGCTTACAGCGCTCTGTTACATCCCCTCCTTTGAGCTTAGGAAAAGTTTCATTTCTGTGCACGTGCAGTATGACTTTGCTGTGATTATATGTGTTCCTCTGTGTACATCTGTTACTGTTTTCGACCCCTAAACTTTCCCAACTGGTTACTGAGGAAGATGAAACTGTACTGCACATGTTATTCCTTCCCTGAAGTCCATGCCATCCCTTGTTCCTCCTTTCTCTCTCTCTCTCTCTCTCTCTCTCTCTCTCTCTCTCTCTCTCTCTCCCTCTCTCTCCCCTTTTCTCCCAGGTCCAATGTGGAAAATGCGGCATCACCGAAACCACTGTTGCTGCCGTCCAAGTCTCCTAAAATAAAAAGTAACCCTACCCTCCTCTTTTATTCCACTCGTTCCCACTCCAGCTCTCCCTTTCCCTCTCCGCTTTCTCTCTTCCTGCCAAACTGCTCCACCCTGCCTAAAACACAGAAGCGTGAATATGATCTAAATCTTCCTTTGTTAATTTCTTTCCCTCTTGATTTAATTTATCTTCTCGTGTGTTTGTGTGTTTATGTGTGTGCATGTGTCTGCCTGACTCTCTGCCTGTGTATATATCACTGATCAGACCACGAGTGGGTGGGGATGGTAAACAAAATCCCTAGAGATGTAACAGAGAGCTCTTTTTGTTTTTGTGAAGCCCCTGACTCCATCTGCAAGTCGACCACAAAAATCACCAAACGTCACACAACTTAAATCGTGTCATTGTAATTTGCTGCCACTGGGATTTGACAACTCCTCAAGCTGCAAATTGAGAGTTATAACTGTTGGCTAAACTCCTTTTCCCAAATCAAATGCATGCCTACATGAGGAGTTGATTAAAGTCACACATATAGTGATGGTGTTGTGTTTTTTTTTTTTTTTTATAGCACATTGGGAAGTATCAAGAATATGCGAACACACTTTAAAGTAAATGTTGCCATTGGTCAAACACATAAAACCCATTAGCAGCCTTTCACTTAAAAAAAAAAAAAAGAAAACAGAGCTGAGGACACTTTGAGTAGCACTCTGAAGGAGTTTTGAAGTGTTCTGTGATACATGGGTAAAGCCTGAACAGTAACAGTGTCTCTTCCTCATTAGAAAAAGTTACATTATTTTCCGCTTTAGACAAAACTTCCCCATAGCTTCAGAAAGAGGGACTTACCATGACTTCAGTCAGGAATTCCTACATAGTCCTCAGCTCCTTTCCTGCTTTTGCTTCCTCTCCGCATTCTCCGCAAGAAAACTTTCTCCTCTCAGTTCTTATCACACAGTCTCCATTAGCCTCTTCAAGTGATGTCTCTCCCCCCCACCCCACCCCACCCCAACCTCTTAAAATCTTCCTTCATGTAAGATCTCAGCGCATGAAAACAGCCCTCCTCTCTTCCTCTTCTCACTCTCCACTATATTTCCCAGCCTGGGAATGTCCAAGCTGCATTTTCTTTTTTTCTTTTTTCTTCTTCCCTCCCCTCTCTGTCTGCCCGGCAATCCCACGCACTCCCACCTCCCCTCCCCTCCCCTCACCTAACAAGAGCACTACAGTCCCTCTCTGCACTCAAACTTTCCATCCCCACCCCCCTCCCCTCTCCACTGTAGGCTAACTTAAATGAATAGACAATGAAAAGCCGTTACCCCACCCAGGCGTAATTGAAAAAAATAAAAAATAACTCTGATGTTTTATTGTTGTTGAAATTACACATTCATTATTCTCAGAGGGAGATAATTAAGACTATATTAAAAAAAATCTTAATTTGATGATAAAGGGGTTGAGGCAAAAATAGACTACTGCTAATCAGCTAAAAGCACAAATATCTCATTTTTACAAGATAGGGAACAAAACACACCAGAATGCATTTGTGTCCTGAGATCACTTCTGTTATGAATTGGCGCTATACAAATAAAATTGAATTGAATTGAATTTACGAATACTTCATTTTCAGCTGCATGGATTTTACTCCATGAGAACATTATAATGGTTGAAAATTGTCTCAATGACATACATTTCTTCCCTCAGTCAATGTAATTGCCCTTTTGCCACCCATTTAACATTAAAGAAGGGTTAAAGGATAACTCCAGAGATTCCGTATTGTCCATCCACAACTTTGGGACACATGCAAGAGTCACATAAAAAGAATGGTCAACACTGATACGACAGAGGTCGAGATATCCCAACTTTTAGTCTTTGTAAGGTATCAAGCGCCTACATTTCCCATAATGCAACTCAATACCATATTTTATGAGACTCCCACTTGCTAGTAAATACCAATGTCTTTGCCACAGTTTGTAACACATGCCTTGTTGTGTCTGAGCAAAAGCTAAGATAACCCTAATGATGTCATCAGGGTGACTTTCTCAGCTCCCCCAGAATTACATAAAAAAAGTGAAATCTCTTCTTCTGGGGTGCCTCTTTAAAGCTATTTGTTACCAAATGTGTCAGCAAGGCTTGAGTCTTGAGCAAGTCCCCTCGCAGGTTAAGCGTCCCCTCAGGTTAATTCCCAGTATTCTGATTTAAGACAGGAAATACATGGGCTTAAAAGTGTCTGAGAGTACGATTTACATCATGAACCATCTAAATTAAAAGTTAAATTTGAGATGAGCTTGTGAGTCCAAATTCTGTCAATAAAATGTTTCAAATTTACTTTAAACTGTTAAACAAGTCAGCCATATGTTAATGCCATCCAGTAGATCTGCAGCAGTGAAATGTTTATATCATGGTGATGGATCTTTCCTCATATATAAACATAAAGACACACTTTAGGCTCAAGTTGCCATTACTCACTCTTTCTTCTTCTTTTATTGCTTTATAGTCCATAATGGGGCCACCACTGGTTGCTATACCACTGCTAAATTTAACCTTTATGGTTTTATGTTTAGACCGCTGTGATGAGTGAAGGAATGGAGTCAGTTTGGTAAATCCACTATTGTAGTTCAACAGCGCCCCCCTGTGTTTGTTATTTGATATTGCAACAATGTAATAGAAAAAAAAAGTAGAGGAGGAGAGGAGGTTGCTTTTAACTGAGGTCATTATTCACCGGGTCATTAGTTAATTATTTAAATTATATGAAATGAACTAAATAAATATTGCTATCATAGATTTGGGCATATTGCCTCAGGCTTGAATCTCTTAGATATTGATTAGTAAACTACACATTTGTTTGTTTCTAGCTCAGTTACATAAAGAACAGAGCAGTTTTTAAACAGTTCTTACTGTGTATCAGACTATATGACATATTTTGTTTCACCTGATTGTTTCTAGCTTATCAAAAACCTAAAGACGAACGATCGAATGAAGAGTGAGCGAGGGGAATGCAAGAGTGCTGGAGAATACCTGTCCATAGAGTGTGAGATAGAATAGAAATGTTGCACAATGGGAGGAAAAGGAGCACAGTTTGAGCTCTTGGCAAAAGGATCAGCATGCATGCACCTGGCAAGAAGGACAAGAAGGACAACTCACCCATGTAGCCCTGCCTCTGGGTGTGTTCGTCACCTACTGCATCTCTAACTCAGTGTATATAACACACTGGTTAATACTGTTATAATTACACTCATTATTCACTCTTGGCACAGCTCAGGATTGTGCCACACCTTATGTAAGGCACCGTATCATTTAGAGAAGTGTGTCGTGGCCTCGCTTTTAATGGTTAGTCTGTGTAATTGTGCCTTTCAAAATGTTTTGCGTTATACAGTTGAGTGTTAATATAACTGGAAGGATTAAACCATCCACAGCGAAGAGGGAGGAGGGAAGATTGATCATAAACTTCCACAGTTCAAAATTCCTGAGGTTGATAAAAATGTTTATTTCCATATTTATTTATTTTTTTTTGTTTGATTATTCAACATACTTACACTGCCTACAAAGACACTGATTGCATATTTTAGCATATTATAACGCACTAGCATAACAGGGAATTGAATGAATTCTCTCCTACCTCAAGGTCAATCAGACAATTACAGAATAAAATATGCAGCAGTATCACATTTCTGTTGTTTTAATGAAGATTTAACAGTGTTTGATGTAGCACACACTGCTATTGATAGTTCAGCTCTGCACTTCAGAGCTCCAAGGTCTTACAAAACCGGCTGAAGTGAAGTAACAAGCAAGGAACTTTACAGCTACTTGTAATGTAGATCCTACTGAGGTATAAAGATATAAATAATATAGAGGGATATGCCATTTAGGGATGCATGTCAGACTTTTGTATAGTCACTATTTATGCTGATACTATGATTTATGAATTTATAATCTTAAGTTTAAATCAGTGTTTTCAAATATGTTCTGTATTGTTAACAGAAACCACACATGGTGCCCCAAAGCAGCAATCCTAGTCCCCACTAAGGACTTTGCGGGTGCTGTTGAAAGACACTCTTTGTGCTCCGTCCTCAGCACCTACGGGCCAGAAAGAGAAAGGTGAAGGTATTGCGGTGAAGTACAACACGTGCACACGCAAAGGATGTGAGGTGTAACCCCCTACGTGATTCGCAGATGAAGTTGAGGAGCTCCTCACAAGGCTGATCCTCCCACAGGTGGCGCTCTCCTTTGGCCATGCCTCCACACGGGTAATATGAATAAGAGCAATGGAAAGGGGCAGAACTATATGACCATTTGGAGAATTTCATGGAATCGCCGGACATCCAGAACCACGTGTTGCGCATTATGTACCTGCCAAACAGATTTATTAAGAGATTTAACAAAATGTTGTACATTTAGACATTTTTTGTACATTTAGAACACTTTGAAAGTTGGTTATTGAGTTTCACATGAGCCAGCCTTATCTTTATGATGTGCTACAACCAACAATTATTCAAATTATTCATAATTCTTTTCATTAATGCAATGTCAGTTCTAAGTTCTAAACACTCAAGGTGACAGCCCCAAATGCTTTGTTTTGTCCGACCAATGGCCTGTGACGGCCCTCAGCAGGGCCCTGTTGTGTGTGCATTTTTTCTTTGTTTGACCTTGCTGGTCCAGTGCAAGTGGAAGCACCTTGCCAGTCTCCCTGGCGGTCCCAGTGTGCAGGTTCTCTCTCTCTCCATTCTTCTGGCACAATGTTCTTGTTTGGCTGGCTTCAGCAGTATCACTAGTTTCGGTTTTACATCATACAGCATTCTTCTTTTATCACCTAATCACTCTCCCATCTGCTGATACACTGACAACACTGATTACATAGGTTTGTTTGTTCACTTAGAGAGCTGTTAGCAAAGCATCCATGCGTGTCTGTCTTGGAATAGCAGCAATGCAAATGACACACAACATTTGACTCAAAGACCTGTGTCTTTTGAGTATATATACATTTGCAAAATTCAAATTAACTAAGTTTTTTGACTGTATGGAAAGAGAACAGGGTAGGGCACCTGCCTTCCTCATGAGTATGACCTTCTTTACATCTTTTAACCTTCAACAAATTCCACAATTTCCATTTGTTAACATTGCATTTCTGTGTTTTACAGATTATCTCAGTGCCCAATGACATTTTGGCTCAAGAAAATACTCAACTTGGGGACCAGAGTTATTATAGTTTTGTATTTTTCATTAGTTTTCATTGGTGTTTTTTTATTTCCAAACTTTGTTTTCAATTCAGTTTTGTTTCAGTTTAGTTCACATTGTTTAAAAATGTAAGTATTAATTTGAGGTTTCTTTTAAATTATAATATGGGGGTATTAGTCAGGGGCAAGATTAAAGAAGTTCAGAATAGGTATAACAATCTAAACACATTGACTCAAAGTCATGTAGACATCCTAGTCTCAATTAACAGACGCACCAATGCCTCCTCATTCTTGTCGAGAAAATTGATCAAATTGACTAAAACTAAAGACATTTCCTTTATATTTTTATTTTAGTTTACACAATATTGTTTTGGGAAGTTTTAATTTTTCCCAAAGTCTAGTTTTAGTTTTTAGCTTAGTTTTAGTTAACTAATAATAATCTTGCTTGGGACTTTTTTGTCCCAAAAATTATTGATTGGTTTTGTCATGCAGGAGACTAATTGAAAAAGTGTTAGAAACAAAACATGAAGAAGGAAACACAATGTCTTTATGGGAGTTTTTGAATGGTATATTATATAATGCTGTACCTTGAAAGATGATTATCAGAGAGGCCATCATGTAGCCTAGATGAAAAACCACACCAGCTAATTTATAAGTCTTGTTAAGTTGTGCTTGAGTGGGACACTGAGCACCTACCTGGTCATTTACACAGTCAGAGCATCGACTCAATGTCTAAAATGTCAATGAGACATTGTGTAGTGTACCTGCGCAATCCCAGCCAGACAAAGTCCGTAAGGGGGAAAGGACTGCGGCTCAGGAGCTGCTCCACCGCGCTCTGCTCTTCCTCGCTGCGAAGGCTAAGCAGGTCCCAGTGGTGATGTCTACAGTAGAACAGAGCATCAGACCAGCAAAGCCTGTCTCCCACAACCGTCACAGTCCTGCCACTCAGCTGCATGCTCTCAGTGGGAGGAGGAGGAGGAGGAGGAGGAGGAGGAGGAAAAGCTTCTGGCTCTGGCAAGAAAGAATGTTGTTAGGTTGCTTCCCCCCCACACCCAGCTTTGTTTTTTAAAACAAGCTTATCTTGAAACTTAAAGTTTCAGAGTCCAGTGAACATTAGAAAGCCAGAAAGTCAGCACCTGGCCAAGGAGTCAGCTGGGATTGACCCACATATTAATAAACTATTATATTATCATTTTGTCTGACGGAATAAACTTTAAATAAGGGAGAAAAGTAAAAGCAGTAGTAGAAATCTACTTTAGAAGTTGTAGCAACAACAATAACACATGCAAACTGTTAGTTTCAAGTCAGCAATATATATAGTACAATACTAGAACCACTTCAGACATAAGACAGTATTTCTTGGTAATTCTGTTTTTTGGTTGATTTCCTAAACTGGACACAATAGTCAAGGACCATACCTGCCAAAGAAGCATAGACCTCCACTTCACACAGTGTCAAAATCTTATCTTCTCCTGGAATGACCACAGTGACGTAGCGACCTTCAATGTCTCCACACTGGAAGGTGTGCGTAGACATATTCTGTACCGATGAGATAGTACCACATCTGATGGAGGGAGACAAACGTTGCTGCACTGTAGCTCAATCGGAAGAAACATATTTTGAGATTATGTGCTGACGCATATTCCAGTTGTAGGTATTACGCCTCACCTGAGGTTTTTGTCATTGATCTCCGGAGAGTTCCCAATCAGGATCTGTGCCCCGAGAAGCCTTTCAGAACAACAGTCTTGCCTGTTGATGATTAAGACAGCACTAACCTTGTGCACAGCTAACAAGTCTACTATCCACCAGGGATTGGATTGCATGGAAGTATGGGTACAGCATCCATCCCCGAATCCACTTCTACACCCACTGACAGCATTAGAGGCCCTAGCATGCATTTCAGTTGACGACTGTGCTGCTTGTTTCATCAAGGCCACATTTGGTAGAGGTTCCACTAAAGTGAAAAAAGAAAGAAAGCAGGAATTAATCAATATAAGAGTGTTGTGTTGCAATTAATCAAAGCCAGTCGGTTACAATAATACCTGCTGCGGATGCATACACCTCCACTTCACACAGGGTGAGAGTCTTTCTCTCTCCAGGGATAATTATGTTCACAAAGCGACCCACCATGCTGCCTCCATCCACCCCATCACATCGGTATGTGTAAGTTTTACCTGCTCTGATGTGGGAGATGGAAGCACACCTGACCATGGGGGGGGTTATTATGTGGGCTTTTCATTTAAAGAGAACAACATGAAGTCCTGAGACCTTAAAATGAGTCCACATTTTTTAACCCTCTGTCACTTGATATAAACTATTTTTTCAGACATTGCTTTCAATTATTATTATTATTATTCAAAAATTGCTAACAAGTTTCTACGCCATCATTACAAAAATGCGTGATGCCAGGCTAGTATGACAACTGAGACTGTGACGACAGTTGATTGTGACCAGGTTTTTCTCATTACCTGGGGTTGTTGTTTCCGTTGTTCTCCTGTGAGTTCCCAATTCGGATCTCAGCTCCATCCAGTCTCTCGGCACAGCAGTCTCCTCTATTGGTGACTTTGACAGACATAACTATATATGTTCCTCCCAGGTCCACCCTCCACCAGGGGTTGGTCTCGTCCTCGGCAGTGTGGCTACAGGACCCACGTTCGTAGAATGAGTTCCTTCTCCCGTCGATGGCTTTAGAGGCCGTAGCGAAAGAGAGCGTTGAAGACTGGGCCGCATCTCCTTTCAGGGCCACATTTGCTAAAGGATATCCTTGAGACAAAAATAGACAACATTTCTTGTGGTTCGTCTGTCATGTCATCATTACAACAACGCATCAAGTGCATAAAAGTTGCACATTGTTGCTGTATTGAAGGTGGTGCGGGTAATCCCCAATAATTCAAGACACTCAAAGCTGGACAAGTGGCCCAAACCACTGCTGTACATTACTACATACTTCTATGATTTGTTCTGCAGTATATTAGGTCTGGTGTTCATTATCAGCAGTTTTTTCTTTGTTGAATCCTTGAAGAAGAACTCTTGAACTACTAGACGTATCTACAACAAATGACACCCATCATTACCAGTGTACACCTCAACTTCGCAGAGAGATAGAATCTTATTGCTTCCTCGGTGAAGCACAGTGACGTAGCGGCCCTCTGCAGCCCTGCATGGAAAGTAAAATGTACCTCTGCTCGGAATGTGAGAGATGATCGCACACCTGCATGTGAGAAAGGGAGTGGAGAAGAAAAGAGAGAGTGAGAAGAAGAAATGGTTATACCGTAAATGGAGGTGTATTATACAGGTCTGTGTCAAGCGGTTTCACCTGATTTTTTTGTCATCATTGGTCTCAGTGGAGCTTCCAATCCAGATTTCAGCACCATCTAGACTGCTTTCTAACCAATTTCTGTTGGTTATTATTACAGCATAAATTTTGTACGTATTCTGCAGGTCTACCCTCCACCAGGGATCGGACTCTATATTGGTGCAGGCACAGAAATCTGATTTCCCGTCTCTGTTCCCATCAACTGCCCTGGCAGCAACCTTGTCGCCATATTGTGAAGACTGGGTTGCTTTCTGATTCAGTGCCACATTTTGGAGAAGATGACCTTTTTGGCAAACAAAGTAATTATTACATAAGAAAACCACAGAATGTATTGAGGGAAAAAAAAAAAAGTTTACCTGCCAGTGCTCCAGATGTCAGAATGAGGGAAAGGCCTAAGTGATTGGACAACATTGTTAAAGATGTTGGACAATTGATTGATGTGTGAATTGAAAGAAGTGTCCTAATTCATAGGGAACCTGCTTATATGCCCGTGAAATAGATGTCACTAACTATACTGTTCTGTACTGATATACAAATAAGGTGTAAGGAAATGTATAAAAAGTGGACACACGCTACTTTAAATATATAATAATGATGATATAAGTCTCCTGGGTATGAAAGTGGGCAATTAAATGCTAAGACACTAGCAATTACAACTTTAAAAGCTGGGGATTTGAAGTTGGCTGAATGTCTGTCAGCTTGTTTTGACCTTTTTATTCTCCCTTTGGGCAAAACAAACAAACAAACCAAAAAACAAACAAACAAACAAACCCCAAAGCATGCAACTTTAAGTTATTTGGTCCTGAAATGATCTTTGTCAAGTAATTAGATTACATTTTATTCAAAAGATTTAGAAAATATCTAAAAATATTTTATTTAAAATAATTTGATAATAAATAGAAACAAATAAACAAGGTATATAGTTTAAGATAAAATAACTTACCATTAAGGATCCACATGTATTGACTTCCATTCATGGCTTTGGAGGAAAATCCCTGAGTTAGTGCTCTGACAATTTTAATAGAAATACCATTAAGACACACCAGTTAGTTGGAAGACTTACTGTCTTTGATGTTTCCTCTAAGTATTACCAATCACGTACTGTACAGGTTAATTTGTTCTGGAACATGAGGACATGTAAATATGCCATCAGAGATATTTGCATGAAGGACAACACACCAAGATGAACATCTGCTTATTGCAAACAAATTCCTGCCTCTGTGCTCAACAATTTGCTTCTCTTCAGTTTGTCTGTATGTTATTATTTAGTATTAACAATTTGCCATTTGTATTTATTCAGAAATTATTTTTGTCTTATCATGTCTTTATATTCAGCATTGTCAGAGAATTTAAATTATCCCTGACAAATGTATTCCAAAAGATAAATGGCAGAGAATGGGCAGTAGAAACTCTCATTAATATGAAATGCACTTTAATTTAGTAATATCGTATACAACACCTTAAAGATCATTATTCTATTTAATTATTGTTAATTATTATAGTATAATATCTACTTTTCTCCATAGGTTACATCATTTCATCCTCATGAATAACGGTTTAAAACTAATATCTCTTGGTTGTTGCCTTCCTTAAAGTTAAACCACGTTACAAAATACAGTTAAGTGACCATCTTTGTAAGGTGTCACGTATCAGTGTTCCAAAACCTATTTTGTGTAAGTCTGAAAGTCAGAAGTTATTACACAACAAATATAAACTAAAGTATAAGTTTTGCTTTCTTTTTGTGGCACTGGTTGTAAAAATGTTCCTTTGCAAATGCCGTTCCGCCCTGAAAGCCCTTACGAAAGTAAATCCACTTGTTTGTTTAGGAAAGGACATGCATTTGATGACGTTGAGGAACCGAGAACAAGTATGACCGCTAGCTTAGAGGTTTGTTTAATGTTTACTTTCATGAATCATCCCAACTTGTTTGGAAATCCATTTGGAACTAAGAATCTATCATGCAGTCTTATTAAATTACACTGGTTTGACTTATGCCCCAGTGTTCACAGCACCATTGTTCAAGAATAACAATATAACATAATAAGAAAAAGAATATAATAATACATTTTTGACTTTGAATCTGGTAGGCCTACTTACAATGGTCTCCAAAATCGTTGCCACATATTGAAAGAGATCATCCTTAAAAAATAATAAAAACATTGTAAATATAGCCAACATCATACATACAACAGGAACCACTGGTGAACTGCTAACTGTTAGATATTTTAAACATTTTATTTTTATATGATGAACATGAAGAAAGTCTAATATAAATTTAACCATATTGTATGTGTGAAGAACATTTTAACTATTTTAATATAAAATTAAATTTAACTTAGAAATGAGCAACGTGATGATGTCGACTTCCGGCGACCATCTTTGTTCGGCTGAAAAAGAAGCAACATAGGAAACAGTCAAAAACGTCTGCGTCGGCCAGTCCGCGGGATATGTTTTCTTTCATTTGGAAAGTCAGTAAAGCATCCCCGAAAATATGTTGTATATATATGTTATGTAATAAAAAAAAATATGTTAACAGCGGTAAGTGTTGTCAGATGACTTTGCATTTATCTGTCATACAAATTGTGGTGCGACACGGAGACGTTGCATGTCTAAAGGTCTGAAAGCATTGACGGTGAACTTGGACTAACGCTATTAGCTGCACTGTAACAGGTAACTAAGTTAGCTCAAACCGTTAGCTGTATAACCGGCAAATGTACAAAACCGTGCTTACTTGTTTGTTTTTTACGTTAACTTAGCTTTGCCCTGTTTGCTGCCTTGGTGACTGAGTTGTCTCTAAAGGAACGGTAACTAACGTTAGCCAGCTATAGAGCTGGGCCATGATATGGCTACTGCTATAATCAGCTAACAGCTTCCATTTTGATTCTAGCTATCAAACTAAAATAGCAATATGCTTAAGAATGAATAACTGAATCTTTTGAGGGTTTAATAGATATAGGGTCTTATTAGGAAATTGATCTCCAGAGGGACACGATACCTTTTATTACTACGTTAACTCAGCTGCTTAAATATTTTCAATTTATTGCTTATTATTTTCAACCAAAGTGTGAAATTGTGATGCCACAAATCACTGTTTATGGATACTGCTGTATTTACAGGTAAATATATAGCTACAGTAAGCTTTTTTTGATGAATTTATCTCTTACACTGCAACATTAAGGATTATTTGTCTTACTAAACCACGAATGTATACTCTTAAATCTTGTGTCTCTATCAGTTACTCTAAATTCTCCCTGTATGACTGATCATACATCAGCTTTCTGTTCAGTATATTACAATGAACACTGCTAAAGCGTGTAAGATAATCAACTTGTGTGAAATATTTATTTAAAAATGAATTCACTTGTATTTTTCAGAGCCGATATAAGATGTGAAAGCAGTCTGCAGAAGGCTGTAGAAGAGTCACCACCTTGCACCATTCCTATGTTCACCTGCAGTAAGTTGATAAGCATGATCCTGATAATCTGGCCTGCACTGTTTAGAGTGAACCGTCTGTGAGATGTTTCACAGTTTATATTCAGTAGTGCATGTGTGTGGGTAGGAAGTTATGTTAAGTTACGTTATGTGGTTCTCGTGACTTGCGTAACGTAACATAGTTATTTTTCCTAAACCTAATAATAAAGTAGTAAAACGGCTTTCTGACAGAAATTCTTTGTGGCAGCCTGGTGCAGCTCATACAAAAACTAAAGGGTGGCCTGTGTAATGAGATGCTGAAAAAATAATAAATGAAAGAAATAATAATGGTACTGATAATAGCAAAAGTTATTATCTAATCTGATAATCAGCCAGGCCAATGATGGGTCTATCCTTAGTTTGTAAAATGTCTCTAGTTCCTGCATTACTTCCTTGAGAGCTTATAGTGCTCACTGATTAACATGAAGTTGGATGGTACTTATGTCTGATAAAGCAGTAACACAGCATTATCATATAAAACGGTGTAATTAGTTGATGGCTCTAAAAATGTCAAAATATGACACTAAGAGTTTTAAACTTAAAGATAGGCTGAATTGTGCATGGACAGATCTAAGATGTTGGTGGTAATCAACATGTGGGAATATTAGCCAGTAAGTTGTAACGTCAATTAAAAGTTAAAATCCTCTTTCTCGGCCAATTCAAAGACCAGTTCATTGAAAATAACGGTGATAGAAATTAAGTTAATATCTCAGCAAATTAAAGAAGTTGGGTATTATAAATGCTTTCTTCTGTAATTATTTAAGTGATTTTAACATGTTCCACTTGGCAGTATCAAAAGTGGATATCACATATTCAACATGGTTCCTCGTATTTTTAAACAAGTAACTAGACAATAATTTCAAATGTAGTTAGTCTTGGTAGCATATCTTACTCAAGAGTGTGTGTCCTATGATACTGGAAGTGATATAATCTAAAAATGGTAAAAGTCAAAAACTTAGACCAGCTACAACAAATATTTTAAACAGATTCAGTTTTACTTAGGACATCGTTTCACCTTCAAATGACGAAAACCATAATCACTTGTTTTTTTTTTTTACTTGGCTTACCTGTTTACTGCCGGGGTATAACTGAGTTGGCTAAAATAACAAGGTCACCAATGGATAACTGAATCGTTTGAGGGATTAGAAAATGGAGTGCCAAAGTAACACTTTCTCTTTTACTACTAAATCAGCAGCTAAAATACTTATTTGTTGCATTTGACAGCAGAGACCATGGCCTAATTTTATGGATACTTCTGTATTTATATGACAATGGATATATACAGTTATCTTTTAATGAATGTGTCTCTTACATTGTAACATGAAGAAGTTTTGCGTTAAAACCACCATTAATGCTTCTAATATACTTTACACCTTGGATTATACTGGTAGCTCTGTCTGTTAATATTCTAAATTCAGCTTGTGTGATTGTTGTTTTACATAGTTTTTCTGTTAGCATATTACAATGAACTGTTGATGCTGAAAACGTATCGAGGGGGAATTTAAATGTTAAAAGTTAAAAGTTACAGAACACCGAATTCTATACTGCTAAAGCTTCGGATTCAGATGTTTGGTTATGCTTGTTGGTTTTGCTCAACCAATGTCGTTGTAACATCTGTGACAATGACAATAAAGAAATTCTGATTCTGGTTTTTGTTGATACATACTAGTGTTTTTCAATATCTGACAATTTATTAATACCATCAAGATAAGCAGCTTGGGTAAAATATTTATTTGGAAAATCTGTAATAAAAACTTCTTACTTTTTTAATTTGCAAAATTAGGTTCACCAATATTTGTTACCATATATAGCATTCCTTTAAGCAGCTGCTCATTTACACGTGCACTTATTCATATGTGGACACATGAATTTATCAGGCAATGAAGACTTCCCAGAAAAAAACATTGTTGAATCATCACAATGGGAACACTCACAACAAAGAAAAAAACACAATTATAACGTAACAAAACACGTCTGACATTTGCTGGCATCATTATGAGTGACGGGAGAGGAGAAAAAAACATTGTTTCCTTGCTTGTCTTGTGACTGTCACAAGAAGCACGAGACATGAATGTAAATGTTGATATAAAAATAAGAATGATCTCAATAATCCGGGCTTCAGTGTTTATAGTAAACCCCTCCTGAGATGTTTAACAGTTAATATTCAGTAGCAGATGCATATGGATAGGAAAAGTATCGTTTTCTTGTCTTGACTCACGGGGTCTTCAGTTTCGTCATTGCATGGCCAGAGCCAGCACACCCACAGTGATCAGCAGAGCTAAAGTGTAGTAGGAGGATGGTAGAACAGGAAAAATGTATTAGTACAGGAGTTATACCACAGCTGAACGGCCAGTGCCGTGGATGCCCCGCCATGAGGCCATAATGCCCCTTCTAAAACTTTAATCAATGTGTGTTGTGGTTGCTGCCACAGAATAGAAATACAGAGTTGCTGTTTATGTAACATTACTTAAGCGATTTCTGGCATTAAGTATTACTGCTGCATTATTGCTGCATTTTACTACTATATTAAGGAGCACATTTTTTAATATACTGTATATACTGTTCTGTAGTTTTGGCCTTGGTGCTCTACATTTTGGGTACGATGCCCCAATA